TTCACAGGGGTCGCCTAAGACATAACAGTAGCAGAATTACAGTTATGAAGTAGCAATGAAAATAATTTCATGGTTGGGGGTCCTCACAACATGAGGAATTGTATTAAAGGGTCGCAGCATTAGGGATGTTGAGAACCACTGCTCTAGAGATTTATGCAACTTTCTGAAATACTCTTAAAGAACTGAACAGCCCCAGAATTATCCTTCTGGTGACTGATTTGCACTCCGACGGGAAAGGTGCCCAGGCTTCAGGTGCCCTCCTCTGCCGTGGCACAGACCTCTCCTGCAAGCGCTTCCATTGCTGCTTTAGTTCCCCAGGTAGTGTGGTCATCCCGGCACCAGCACCCTCGCCCTGACCCACGTGCTTTATGGGAATAAGTTGCAGGGCTGAGGAGGAGGCCAGTCGGTGCAGGGAAGTGGCCGGAGGCACTTCCAGACTGAGTCCAGACTGCTGCGGGTGTAGAAGAGGTGACCCGAGGAGGATCGCTCCCGGTTTGTCTTCATCTTGGTGCGGTTATCCTGTTTGGCTACTCTTTTTCGTTTTGTGAGGAAACTAATCCAAGTTATTCTACCTTCATTCTAGCTTAGAGAAGTGGGCTGCAGTCACCACCCACCCTGAAGGGGAGCTGTGTAGAGAAGCTTAAAACAGGTTCAGTGTATTCTGCTTTTGATGTAACCTACATAGAAAATCAGTTATGACTGCAACTCGGGTGCACCCGTGTAATCATGACCCAGGTAAAGAAATAGGCCATTACTAGCACGAAAGTATAGGAAATTGTGCTCTGAACTCCCATTATCAAACTCACGTGGACATTTTAATTTCTATATCCATCTACAGAGATGGTGTTTTTTATTTTAAAAAAAACCTGTATCGCCCTGGTTAGTTGGATTCAGCAGTTAAGAGTGTCGGCCCATGGATCAGAGTCACAGGTTTGATTTCGGTCAAGGGCACGTACCTTGGTTGGGTTCATCCCTGGCCCTGGTTGGGGTCCTGTGGGAGGCAACCAATTGATGTGTCTCTCTCACATCAATGTTTCTCTCTCTCTCTCTCCTCCCCTCCCCCCCCCTCCCTCCCTCCCTCCCTCATTCCCGCTCTATCCGAAGATAATTGGAAAACTATCCTTGGGTGAGGATGTAAAAAAAATAAAAATAAATTACAAAATGTGAAACCTGTACTGAAGCCTACCATGTGTACAGAAAAGGGCGTGTGTGATGTATGGGTGACTCCGTGAATTCTCACACACAGGTGCTCACCCAGGAAACCAGAACTCAAGTGCAAATGTAGGACATTACCAGGGTACCTAGATAGGCTTTTTTTTTTTAATCCTCACCCAAAGATATGTTTTTCATTGATTCTAGAGAGAGAGAAAGTGAGAGAAATGTGGATCATTTGCCTCCTGCATGTACCCTGATTGGGGATTGAACCCCAAACCTGGGCATGCGTCCTGTCTGGGAATGAAACCTGCCAGCCTTTGGCGCACAGGACAGCACTCTAACCAGCTCAGCCACTCTGGCCAGGGCAGGTACCTGGGTACCTTTTAAATGGGTTTCATGGTTCGTGCACGTTTGAGAAGTTTGCTCCTAAACGAAAACACAGGTGCCCTTTCACCTGGGGGTGGGGCGGTAGTGTTGGGCGCTGGAAGGATGGGCAGGACCCACGTGTGCCCCGGGACAGAGGCTGTTGCAGCCGCAGATGGTGCCTCGCCTAGCTACCCTTGGAGCCGGGCCTGCAGATAGTGCCTGTGTGTGGAGACAGCACATGCAAAGGGTGTCCTCTGGGGGCGCTCAGTGAGGTCTGTGTGGCGGCACTCAGAAGGGCCACCTGAGGGCCAGTGAGGAGGGTGTGGTTGTTTTGTGAAATCAAAGCTAAACACCCGGGGTACCTAGGAGCCCTGTGGGGCAGGGAAGAGCTCACCTCTCCTGCGGTCCCCACTGGATTGTGTGCGGTGCTCTGAGGACAGGCAGGTGTGTGCTGTAAGCTCTCAGGGTGGCTGTGGGCCAGACAGCACGGCGGGCGACAGGTGCCTCTGCAGCACAGGCAGGAGCTGAGGTAGGACTGCAGGCAGCCGAGTCATTTTATCCTCATAAACACCTGAGTGTCTGATAACCGCTGTCGCAGTGAACCCTCGTGACACTGAGGAGGAGATGCTGTCGTCTCATTGTGGGGGAAGAACCCGAGGCACAGGCCTGTGCGCCCAGCCTGTTCTGTGGCCGGCTCTCCTGGTGAAGTGGGAATGGTGACTGTTGTCTGAGCATGGGCTTGGTGGCTGTCATGGTGTGTCACTTAGACATGACTGTCCAGTGTCCTGTCAGGTCCCTTGTGCTTTTCAGACTAGGTCATCTTGGAGTGGCAGTCGACAGAGAGGACTTGCCACTGCGGCCATGCCACTGCCCTGACCACCACTTGTCTGTTTGCCTAGTGTGTGGTTTGGCGGTTTCGGGGACATTCCATCAGTGGGATCTTCCAGGACATAACTCTGGGCAAGCCCTGCGGGTGGCACTGTCTCTGGTGGCTCCTTCAGCACTGAGTCCTGTCTGTGATGCAGCAAGTTCGCATGGAGTCAGCAGTGTCTCGGCTCCCAGTGGGCTGCTCTGCACATCACGTCTGCACAGTCCGTGAACATACGTGTTCGTTTCTCCTGGGAAACACCCAGCACGTGGTATGTGGTTGGATGGCGTGTTGGTTTAACTTCATGAGAAACTGCCAGGCTGATCTGCCCCAGCAGCACCGGGACCTGTCTCCACCTCCTTGGTGCATGTGCTATCCCCCTTCTGTCAGTCACCCTTCTGTCACCCTTGTCAGTCACCCTTCTGACACCCACGTCAGTCACCCTTCTGTCACCCTTCTGTCGGTGTTGGGTGCTGTCTCTTGGCAGTTTTGATTTTTGTTGCACTAACAGCTAGTGACCTGGACCGTCTTTCCATGTGTTTGTTGGCTGTCAGTGTATCTTTGGGGGAGTGTTATTTTCTGAGTGGATTACTTATTTTCTTGCTTTTGGAGATGTAATTTTTAGATTTTCTCTGTGAAAATGGACATGAGAGGTGGCTGTGTGTTTAGTGTCTCAGCGGGGTTTCTGGTGCAGCAGACCACACCGCTGATGGGCTGTTTGAAAATGAGAGCAACGTGCCCTAGCCGGTTTGGCTCAGAGGTTAGGGCGTTGGCCTGCGGTCCAGAGAGACCCGGGTTCGGTTCCCGCTAAGGGCACGTACCTCAGTAGCAGTTTGTCCCTGGCCCTGGTTGGGTCGTGCAGGTGGCAGCCACTCGATGTATTCCTTTCATGTCAATGTTTCTCTCTCTCTCTCTCCCTCCCACTCTATCTGAACAAAAAATGGGAAAATGTTCTCAGGTGAGGATAAAAAAATAAAAAATAAAAAAAGATGTCCTTGGGTGAGGATTAAAAAAAATAAAAAAAGAAAGAGAGCAACCTGCCCTGGCCGGGTTGCTCAGTGGTTAGAGTGTCAGCCTGTGGACCAGAGTCGTGGGTTCTATTCCAGCCAAAGGCACGTACCTCAGTTGCGGTTCATCCGCGGCCCTGGTCGGGGTCATGTGAGAGGTGACCAGTGTCCCTCTCACATCGATGTTTCTCCCTCCCTTCCGCTCTATCTGAAGATAGATGGAAAAATATCCTTGGGTGAGGATGGAAAAAAAAGAAAGAGCAACCTGAGCAACTGGCTGGGCCGCTGCTCTGATGGGGCGCTGGGAGGGAGCTGCTGGGGGTCTTATTAGGTGCAGGGGCAGCATTGGGAAGGCGGTGGGAGTGTGCAGGAAATGGGGAATTTGGAGTCATTGGGGGTGTGAGGTTGAATGAAGGTCACGGGCCTGGATGGGATGGAGAAGCATGGAGGCTGGACTCTCAGTCTGAGGCTTTAGGCATCGTGGGTGTGAAGGACGGGAGCCCAGGAGTGAGAACAGGAAGGAGGTGGTGGGCTCCTCGGTCTGCTCTGTCCACCGAGGCAGTGGAGAGCTGGCCTTCCAAGGGATGTGAAGGGCGGGACCTGATAATGGTGCCTTCAGAGGAGGAGTGTGTAGGGAGGGAGGCAGGGAAGGGTCCAGACTTGCTGAGAGATGTTCTTTCCGCCCCAACTGAAGGGGGGATGTATCACCTTGAAGATGTCACTAGAAGTAGGAGGGACGCGGCACCTCCATGTGCGGACCCTCCCTTGGCAAGTGCCCAGGTGGGACAGGGTGGTGGGCAGAGCCAGCTGAGCGCCATGGGCTGGTCATTCTGCTGGCTATAAATAGTACCCAAATCAGGCGCTTGTAACTGGGCGTGATAGAAGTCTCTGAGACTGTGAGTCTGTGGAGCTATTTTTAACTTTTATTCTTTGAAGGCATTTGGCTCGCATTCCTTTTTTTCATATACTTGAGTCACGGCAAGGAAACTATATTAAAGATGGACCAGAGTGTTAAATTTTAAACCCTTTCCCCCAGAATTTAATGTGTGACTCTTGTTTGCTCAGTGAAAAAGCTGATAGTTTTTGAAAAGGAATGATTTTTCCTTTTTAAATAAGAAACAGTCACAAAATTGTTTGTTTCTGCTTAATGACTCAGTTATACTTGTACATTTAATTTGAAAGGAATAATGGATAGCGTGTTCAAGTCTGTTTTAAATCTGTAAAACCTAAAACGTGTTTGTGCATTTATTTTAAAAGGAGTAATGCCTAGGTTTCGGGTTCGATCCCCGGTTAGGGTGTGTACAAGAGGCAACTGATCAGTTTCTTTCCCCCACCTTCCTCTCTTTAAAATCAGTAAGCGTCATTGGATGAGGATTTTGTCAAGCCAACCACAGAAGTAATGCAGATTAAGTGGTATCTGAGTCTTTTTTGAGTCTGTCATCTTGTTTTTTCGTTCAGCTGGTCTAAAGGTTGTGTTTGCTGCTGTTGAAAATGGTGGATGCTTTGCTTATGGTTTCATTTGTTGGGCTCCTCGGCCCCCATGCACGGTGCACCCCGCCCTCCAGCCCAGCAGATGGGCACTGATGCTGGCTGCTCTTTTTCAGGTGCACCTTCAGGTTCCCGAGCACAAACATCAAGATTACGTTCACTGCCTTGTCCAGCGAGAGGAAGGAGAAGCAGGAGGCGCCCGAGTCCCCGGTGAAGCCCGTGCAGGCCCACATCTCTCCCTTGACCATCAACATTCCAGACACCATGGCCCACCTGATCAGCCCCCTGCCCTCCCCCACGGGAACCATCAGGTACGGCGGCAGGGGTCAGCATGGGGTCAGGGACACGGGTACGGCCATGTCCGCTCCTCCTGCCTTGATACTTTCAGGCGCCAGTGTGAGTCACGGTGGTGAGCAGGAGTGCACAGCGGTGCTCGCGCCTGCCCGGGCTGGTGGGCACCGGAGGGAGGTGTCGAGGCACCGAGAATACGCCTCCTCTCCCAACACTGTTCGCTCTCAGTACTTCCTGTGTCCTGAGCCACAGTTCCCAGGTGTTCCTCATTTTACTCATGGATTCTTTTCACTTGGTGTAAGTTGGAGGGGCAGATGATTTGGTCTGGAGCAGGGCTGGGGAACCTTTTTTCTGCCAGGGGCCATTTGGATATTTATAACATCATTCGAGGGCCATACCAAATTATCAGCTTGAAAATTAGCCTGCTCTATCTGGTCCAACATTTAATTAACTCACCCCTAATGGGATGGCTGGAACTGCTTCTCTGATGAGGCAGGCCCCCTGGTCTCAAGTCTGAGATTTTTATTTGCATTTTGGAGTTTTTTTGTTTGCTAGTTTCATGTAGGTTCTGATAACCTGTACTTTCGATTGATGAGTTGGATCCCAGTGAAGTAACTGGGTTCCTCAGGAAGTAGAGAACACTGGCTTTGGGGTACACTGTCCCTGTTGGATTCCTGAACAGTGTATAGTGTCCAGGTTGTGCCGAGCTCACAGGACAGAAGCTGAGGGTCAAGTCAAGAACAGCCCCGGGACCCTGCAGATGTGTGTTCTTGGAGCCGTCAGATTGCAGCCTGTGTGGAAACGGGGCCCCCAGTGGCCAAGAGTCCGGCTGTGACCTCAGGGCTGGGCTCAGACATGTTGGGCCTTTTAGGTTCTGTCTTCTCTCAGGAGAGTGGAGGATGTGTCTGGGCGTCTCACCTTTGAGCGGTGTCGGACTTGGATGTGAAGTGCATGCCCTGCAGTGTCGGGCACCTGCTCCCCTGCAGTGTCGGGCTCCTGCTGTCCAGACCACCCCCAGAGCACGCTGGGGCAGGAAGGGCTCATCCCCAGGGGCCCTGCGTGTGGAGAGCTGACAGCCCCAGTGCTCCGTTTCTTGTCTTCAGAACCAGCATAGCTGTAGGCCTGTGGAGAGGGATCTGCTACACTGATCGGTCAGATGGAGGGCTGGGCCCTTCCCTGCCTCTGGCCCACTGTGCCGAGGGAGCTGCCTCTGCCTTCCTCACGTTGAATTCATCAGCATGCGGCTCACGGGCCAGCCAATGTGTCGTGGGCAGACATGATCCAGCAAGCACTGTGGCCAGGTTTCAGTCAGCACCGGGAGAGGGCGAGTTCCCAGAGGACGGGGAGGAAGCCCGCAAGCTGCCCACAGCCCAGGGAAAGCAGCCAGTGGAGCGGTGTGCAGACACGCCCGTGGGTGCTCAGCAAGGCGGGCTGGAAGCCTTAGGGTCGGGTCAGCTCCTGACCCAGCCTCCCTCACCCTCTACCCATCTCCATCCTGCTTTCCTTGCTTGTCCCCTCCTCCACACTGTGTGGGGCGACAGCACAGTGGGAGCCTGACATCCGATGGCGGGGGGGGGGGGGGGGGCCAGACCTGCCTCTTACAAGCCTATCAGCCAGCCCTGGGCCACTTGCCTTCCCCATGTTCGTGCATGTTAAACGTTAGCTGTTGTTGTCATGATGAGTACGTTGCATGCATCCTGCTGCCCGTTGTGCTCCCTTCCCGTGCGGTGCTGGCGTCCTCCTGACACGCAGTAAGTGCTGATCTGTGGGTGGTTGCGTGCACTGTGCACGTGCTCCTGCTGTGGGGCCCAAGGGCTGCTGGGGCGAGGGTCAGAGTGCCCGGCTCTCTGCCCGCTCCTTCCCTGCCCTCCTTTCCAGTTCAGCTTCTTGAAGGCAACAACTGTTTCTTAGGTGTTTTTTCCAGAGGTTTTCTTTACATTTGCAACACTTGTCTCTGCCCAAACACGAGTGAGACCTAACCACGTGTGTTGTTCTGCGAGTTACTGGGTTAAAGCCAGGTTATCGTGGCCCTTCCATCTCAGTAGCTCGTCCTCTGTCAAGTACGACACTGCACAGGAATGAGTTCTCACCGAGAAGAATCAGCATTCCCAGCCTGACCTCACAGAAGAAAGTGCATGTGTAAAACCGAGTCCCTATTTCTGTTTTCTGGGTGTGCCCTCACTGACTTCGCATGTGTGTGTGCACAACTTCACCCCCTTCTTCGCGTCCTATCCTCGGCCAGCGGCCCTCCCCCACTCCTACCCTCGACTCTGGGACTGTCCTTTGCAGCCTGTCTCAGCCCCCTGGTGGGGAGAGGGCGAGTGGAGCTCGTGCTCAGTGTCCTTCCACCGGCGAGTGCCAGGAGCCCTCCTGGGAGGCTCTGCCCTGGTCGGTCCAGAGCCACCTGGGCTTTCGTTCCCTCACCCGAGACCAGGGCGCCACCTCCTTCGAAAGTTAATGATCACGTGCGGCGACCTGTGGGAGCCAGCTTCCACGTGTTTCTTGGGGTGATCTTCAGTTTCACAGAGAATGATTGAATTCATTTTTCCATGGGAAATGCTGATATTTTCTTACTTTCACAGTTGTTTTTTTTCCTCTGAAATCGGAGCCAGTTCTCGAAGCTGTGATGTTTGCCCTGTGATCGACTGACAGGACCCATTTTTCTCGTCCACAGTGCTGCAAACTCCTGCCCATCCAGCCCTCGGGGAGCAGGGTCTTCAGGGTACAAAATGGGCCGTGTGATACCATCTGACCTCAATTTAATGGCTGACAACTCACAGCCAGAAAATGAAAAGGAAGCTTCAGGTGGAGACAGCCCAAAGGTAAATGTCTCATGCCTTGGCACAGAAGCCAGGGGCCCTCATGCACCCAGCCGTCCTCGCTGCATGTCTGCGACATCCCCACCAGGCTTGAAGAGGCACACGGTCTGTCGGTGTCCAGTCTGCTGGCCGGGGTTGCTGTGGGCTCCTGGCCCTGGGTAGCATGCCCTTGGAATTGGGCAGATGGGGGGTACAGGAGGGCCCTGGGTCCTCGTGGGTGACGTCCATTGTGTCCCAAGTGCTGAGGGTGGTGCGTGTGTACACAGGATGCGCATGGGCACGGTGTGCACCCAAACACACACACACTTAAAGAATTCTGAATTTTTGTACATTTAGTGAAAGGTTTTGGTAACTTCAGTACTGTGTTTTTTTAATACAGGACGACTCAAAGCCACCTTACTCCTATGCACAGCTAATTGTACAGGCGATTACGATGGCTCCCGATAAACAGCTCACCCTCAATGGGATTTACACACACATCACTAAAAACTATCCGTACTACAGGACCGCGGACAAGGGCTGGCAGGTAACTCCCTTCCAGTGCGCTGTTCTGCCAAGTGCCTTGTTGGGGCCGGTCAGCCACCGAGGGGGGAGTCGGCTGGGGTTTAACTTGGGCTCAGGTGGAGAAGGTGATGAGGGAGATGAGTGAGTCCCCTTTTGCTAAGGAAGGAAGACATGTTTGAGGCCGGCTGTTGCCACGCTCTCTGACCCCAGTGCAGAGTGGTCACACGTTACACTGCCCTGGTCCCCACGATGGGGAAAGGCTGGGTGGTCGACGTGTCTCTTGAATGAGGGCGCAGTTCATGTCTGAAATGGAGGAGAGTCAGAAGTCCAAACTCGTCCCTGCTCTAGCATTGTTCTGTCTCCCTTGTGTTACGTCAGCCTAGAGATGACTTTCAGACTGTTTTACTGAGGAACCATTTCTTTAGCAGACATCTCCCAGTTGGTCAGTGTGAAAACACAGGTGCCCGCTGCCTGTTAAAGTGGGGCCCCTGCTTGTCTGCTGGCCCTTGTGACCCATTCCTAGGATGCCTGGAACCTGGGCCTCCTCGGAGGACACTTTGAAATCAATGCATAATATTCCCATTGTTCAGCTTTTTAATTTAGTTTTATTTTAAGTCTTTACATTGTGTAAGTTTTTTCTGTGTCTGTGTGGCCATTTACAGGGTGTATATATGCCGTAGGACCTCACTAATTCAGACAGTATGGGAAAGGGTAAGTTTGGAACATAGAATATTAAAGCATAAAGAGAGAGGAGAATTTATAACTGTTAAATTCATGAAGTAACCAGGAATGGCTAGAGTTCCTTTGAGGCTTAATAAGTAAGTGATCTTGTGGAAAATGTGTCTGTTGAACCACAACCAAGTGGTGGGGGTGGGGGGACCATTTTCTATTTAATGGAGAGTAAATACTTTTTCTTCACCTGCAGAAGTACAGACATGTTTAAATAAAAGTAGTCTACCAACCAGCCCCTGAATACTTCCTTTCTGAGGGGTCTTAGTCACGTCAGGGTGCTCAGTGGTGGAAGGTGCAAATGAGACCCAGCCTCCCGGCCCAGGTGTCATCCTGCCCGCGCCCTGTTCGCAACAGGTGGCATTCCTAGTGGGCGAGGGCTGTCTGTCCAGCTGCCTGGCAGGTGTCTTCACAGTCGCACGATGGAGCCTCGCAGAGTGTGCTGTGCGGGTTCCGCAGGACACCTGGGGCTGCAGTGCGGAGCAGCCCTGTGCGGGTTCCCGTGGCACGGGAGGCTGTCAGCTGGGCTTTATGGGAGTGAGGGTTTCTGGCCAGACTTAAGGACCCATTCCCTACAGTCATAGTTCCCTGTTTCTGAACATCCATTTGAGAACTGCTTCCAAGCATCGAAAGGTTTTCTTGGTAAAAGGACGTGGAGGTGACGGGGCCGTGGCCACGGCGAGGTGGACTCCCCGTCGCACTGACTGCTGCTGTCTCCGGGGTGTGACTCCACCACCGCGTGGAGCAGAGTCACAGACACAGCCAAAGTCAGGCCCCACTCTGTCCAACTGTCATTAACGCATATTTTTATTGAAACGTCTTCTTTTCTGTCTAGATGAACGTAAGGGCGGCTGCGCCTCCTGCCTCCAGCTACTTGAGCGGGATGTGGACACACGCTTGTCTCTGTCCTTCTTCCCACAGGGCCCGTGGCTCCCGGCCCAGCTTCACCTGCCCCTTTCCTGTCCCGCGGCTCCGGGCTGCTCTTCTCAGAGCGTCTGCAGGCGGGAGACCTCACCTCACGTCTTCTCTCCTGCTTTCAAACGCAACATCCTTTCCGTTTTGCAACCTTGTTTTAGAAAAGGCAAGGTCCTGCCCCGGCAAGGCGAGCAGTAGAGCATCGGCCCACAGACCAATGGGTCCCGGGTTTGATTTCGGCCAAGGGCATGTACCTGGTTGTGGTTTGGCCCTGGCCCTGGTCTGGTCGTACAGGAGGCAACCAGTCGGTGTGTCCCTCTCACATCGATGTCTCCCTCCTTTCCTCCCGCTCTGTCTGAGGATAAATGAAGAAATTGTCCTCGGGTGAGGACTAAAGAGAAGGGCAGTACACCTTTTCTCCACGATGTGACTTTTCCAATTGTGTATCTGGCCTCGGGTGGGAGGGGTCTGGGCTCCAGTCAGTCCTGAGGAAGTGCTGACTTCCCGCCACACCTGTCGTGAGCATGTGATGCAAGTCCTCAGCTGCCTTTCAGATGGACTGTTTGTAGCTTTGTGCACCCTGGCAAACTTTCTGATTGATCCAGAGGGAATTCTAGGATGAAACAAGGTTGTCTGAGTGCCCTGTCTGGAGATGGCGTGCTTCTTTCCTTTGGTTGCATATTTATGCCAAAATGTTTTCTCGTGATTTATAACTATAATCTACCCAGCCCCGAATTGAGGTCATTATTGTGAGTGAAGAGCGTGAGGATTCTGGGGCCCTCGGCTTCTGAAGGGTCAGAGGTGGGAGCACTCAGTGCTCACCCCCAACCACATGTCGGACTTCCTCTGGAAGGGACTTGGTGTGTTTCCTGCTTACATGTGTCTTCACAAGTACTTTCTGTGCAAAATGCACACCATCGAGGGCTCAGTGCCGAGTGCCCTTGAGAAACGGAGGTCTGAGCGGGAAGGGACTCGAGAGGACAGCGCAGAGCAAGGGCAGGTGACGGCGTGTGCCTCCTCGGTCAGCTGAGGGCACAGCGAGGTGGTGCGTTCCGGGCAACGGCCACAGTTCGGGCTTGTGAGAGGGGGCTCTGTATTGTAGAGCCACCTCTGAACACTTTATCATAACTTCCGAATCAGTGCGGCTTGTGTTGTAGATTGGTTTGCACAAGTTACAGAGGCCTTGCTGGGTAGCTCAGTTCGTTAGAGTGTTGTCCTGACAATGCCAGGGTTTGGGGTTCGATCCCCCATCAGAGCACATAGAATCAACCAATGACCACATAAATGAGTGGAACAACAAATTAGTGTTTCCCTTCCTCTCAAAAAAAAAAAAAAGACAGAGGCCTTAAATTACTTTAGAAACATTTACTTTATTCTGTTTGTGTCTACATTAAATGTCTCTTATCAGTTCATTACATTTTCTGGTCTTGTTGGTTGGAAAATCACAGGTGCCCATTTATAAGCGGGGCTCCTTTGCCCCTGAGATTGTTGTTAGGGTGGAGGGGGGCAGACCTCATTCTGTGGCGCAGACTGGGTCCGGCGACATCTCAGGGCAGCCGCTTCCTGGTCAAAGAACCGACTTTGCAGGTGCTCCGCGGTGAGGGCCATGCAACAGCAGCATTGGGACCCTGGCCCTGTCCTTGTCGGGGGCTCTCCTGTGACACTGCCTGTACGCAGAGCCCCGGGAGCTGTGCCCCTGCCTCCAGCAGCACACACACTTGCTGCCCCACATTGGTCAGCGCCCTGAGGTCAGATGTTGTCCTGCACTGTGGCTTGGTGGCACTTGAGGCCCTACTCGGTGGCCAGGTTTCCACAGGACAGTCGGAGGAACTCGACCCCCACTCAGCACCTGTCTTGGGCAGAGTGTGTTCTGCGGTGTCCCCGTCTGCCTTTGCCTTTCTCAGCCCAGAGCCTTAGACTCTGCCTTCTCCAGACGGAAAAAGGCCCGAGTGCCGTTGCAGGGTTGTCTTGTCTCTGATGGGACAGATTTGGTTTTCTGGAGGAATTGATAAAAAGGTATTGGTTGGTTATCAGCTAAACTCTATGATAAAATAGCTTATTTGACCCGTTTTGGTTTCTGGGCCACCTCTGGTGATTCAGAAGTTCAGGCCATGGCTGCATTTCTAGCAGAAGTTGGGGGAAATCTAGAAATAATGTTTGGATAACTCAACATTTTACTTTGAGTTATTACCATTGAGAAACTTGCCAGTTTATTAATTTTACGTGTGAACATTAATGCAGGCATGACATGAGCCGAGTGCAGGACTCGGCCCGCTCCCTCTACCTTTCAGAGGCTCGGTCAGGTTTGCCAAAGCGGGTCCTCGGGGTGCAGTGGGGAGCTGGCCCAGGGCCTCTAAGCCAGGATCCAGCTCCTTGTAGAGAGAATGGAGCAGGAGCGGAGGGGACTGTTCCCGAGGTGCCTCACGAGAGCGCTGTGAGGCTCGGGTAGGAAGCGGCCCACAAGTGCTTTGCCGAGGCTGTTAACTGGAGGTGGTGTCGTTTTTTTCCTTTACTGCTTTGCCAAATACTTGATACTGGGTCAGTTCATTTTAAATGGCTATGACAGTTTCTGAAAGCTAATTCTGTGCTCAAAAGGATTGAAAGGATTGGCTTATCTGGTCTCTAAATAGGGAGAGGACGAGACGGCAGGAAAGGTCACATAGTGATAGTCTTGGTTTCCTACCTGGGAAAAAGGTGGAAGCTGACATTTTCTCCTTGGAAACAGCCTCTTTCCTTTCCTTGTGCAGCGTCTGGCCCCCTGTTGGGGATCCCACCCAGCCCCTTCGTCAGCTCACTTTGGGAGGGGCCGTGCCCTCCAGCAGTGTTGTTTTCAGACTTCTCAGCCCTCTGCAGGAGCCCGGCACCTAGGTTTCTGCTTTGCAGGGCACTAAAATGAAGCACATTTTTATTTCTCAGCAAAGAAAAATATGAATTCTATGTATTTTTTTTATGTTTCATAGAATTCAATTCGCCACAATCTCTCTCTGAATCGTTATTTCATCAAAGTACCACGTTCCCAGGAAGAACCAGGCAAAGGCTCGTTCTGGAGGATAGACCCTGCCTCTGAGAGCAAACTGGTAGAGCAGGCTTTTAGGAAGAGACGGCCTAGGGGCGTGCCTTGCTTTAGAACCCCTCTGGGACCGCTCGCGTCTAGGTAAGGAGAAGACCAGGAAGACCTCGCTTCATGGTCAGTGAACTTACCTTCAGTGTATTGGTGAATTTTCCTTTGAACAATGAAGGAAGTAATGATGGGATGGGGATTTGGAAAAACAAAAAGTGTTGGATGCTCTATTTTTGTTTCCTGTGGTCAGAAACAATTCATCTTTTGTAGCCTTTACTTAAAGGAAGCAGTTGTGGCTTCATTGAACTCACTGCTATTGTTGTAACATCACGAGTCACAATGTATCGATGCCACATTGACCAATACTGTGTTTCTCTTTCCCTTGGCCTGTGGAAGATCTTTAAAGCCACCTTTTAGCTGCTTAAACTCAAGATTGATTTGTACAATGTAAATTGCCTGAGCTTAAAATGACACATTTTTAGCTTCATGAATGGATACTGATGTTAAACAAGAAAGGAAATGACACTGCCGGAAGTCTGAAACCCCCCTCCCCCACCCCGGCTTGCACACTGCCTAACCAACGGGCACTGCTCACACAGGGCGGCCAGTCCAGCTCCATGGCTGTGCAGCCCGTGCTGGGCACGGGGCAGTGGCGTCCGACACACAGTGGCTCTGGAACAGTCAAGTGAGTCTTCGCTGAGCGTCCGTCTCAGTCACAGGTGTTCACAGAGAAGTGAGATTATGGAAATGTAGTTGTTGGCAGAAGACAAATGACACCCCTTTTTCAAAATGCACTTGTTAAAACGACCGGGCAGCTTTAGGAGTGCCTTACCTTTAAGAACCCATGTCTTCTTTTTGGCAATGCAGAAGTGCCCCCGCCTCTCCTAATCACACTGGAGTGCTGTCTGCTCACTCCAGCGGTGCCCAGACCCCCGAGAGCCTGTCGAGGGAAGGTTCGCCGGCCCCCCTGGAGCCTGAGCCTGGCACCTCACAGCCCAAACTGGCTGTCATCCAGGAGGCACGGTTTGCCCAGAGTGCACCAGGTGAGGCGTGCAGAGGGCAGGCATGGCGGGAGGGGCAGCTGCTCATGGAGAAGAAGTGGGAGAGGCTTTGGTTCCTTTGTACTTTGTACTTGATACTTTGTGCTCAGTACCCTAGTGGTTTACCGGCTCTGAGCATTTCTGTATGTGACCCTGTGTAGATGTCTGCAATAATTTTGAATTAACCTATTTCTTAGTTGCTTCATTTAAAAATCTATGAAAAAGATTCTCCCTTCCCCCCAAAAAGGAAATAACATATTAGACGTTGGTTAGCAGCAAAAAACACCCATTTCATGATCAGTGAGCTTTCGCGGTCACAATACAGAAAACGTGCCCGGGGGAAGTAAGACGACACGGCATAGAAATGTGTCCAAACAAATTCACTCTGTTTCCTGGGTGGTGAGTGTCCTTCGCTGTGCGGGCTCCTGGCCCGACCTGCCAGGTCCTGCCGTCCACGTCTTCCTTGCCTCAAGCCCAACCAGAGAGAGCAGAGGCTGGACGGCAGAGCTCCTCACGGCCTAACTCTGTCCCTGAACTGTCCAGTTCCCTTGCACCCACCCATGGTGAGATGAAGAATGATCTCGGGGAGCATGGCCACTTCATTCGGGCCTGGGGGCAGCTTCCTGCGTCCACTTTTCTGTGTGTGAGGAGAGAACTGGGGGAAGAGCTGTTGTAAGAAATGTGAATGGAGCAGACGTTGTGTTGCATAGAGGTCTGTGAGGGACACATCCTTGTGCAGTTACTGCAGGCCTCATCGTGAGGGACTGGACTGTCACAGGGGAACAGGGCCGTGCCCTGCTGTATCAGTCTGTGTGTGGGCCGTGGTCAGAGGAACACGGGACGAACTGTAAGCCTCACTCCTGCTCTGTCATCCCCCGCAGGCTCCCCTCTGTCTAGCCAGCCTGTTTTAATTGCTGTGCAGCGACAGCTGCCCCCGACGATCAAGCCCGTCACCTATACTGTCACTGCCCCTGTGACCACCTCGACCTCCCAGCAGCCCGTCGTGCAGACGGTTCACGTTGTCCACCAGATCCCGGCAGTGTCCGTCACCAGTGTGGCCGGACTGGCCCCAGCGAACACGTACACCGTCGCGGGGCAGGCCGTAGTCACACAGACGGCGGTGCTGGCCCCTCCCAAAGCAGAGCCACAGGAGAATGGAGATCACCGAGAAGTGAAAGGTGAGACAGCGGCTGCTGCAGGTAGCTTTCGCAGCCTGGAGCGCCCAGCCCATTTCTCATGTTGCTCACTGTTGGTCTGGAGCAGGTCTGCTCCCCCAGGGGTTGTGCTCATTAGAACTGCTGAGGTCTCTCCGAGCTTCCAGCCGTCTCAGTTGGTGTCGTTTCTTGTCTTTTCATTTCAGTGAAAGTGGAACCTATTCCCGCAATGAGCCAGGCCACCCTGGGCGCCGCCAGCCGGGTGATTCAGACGGCACAGCCCACCCCTGTCCAGACGGTCACCATCGTGCAGCAGGCACCTCTTGGGCAGCACCAGCTGCCAATAAAAACTGTGACACAAAACGGGACTCACGTGGTGCCAGTCCCCGCCGCTGTGCACGGCCCGGTAAACAACGGTACGCAGCGGGGGCTTCGCTCTCCTTTCTGAAGGTCACGGTCAGAGTTTTGGTTCTGACTGTGCAGTGTCCACATTCTGAACTGTAGGAGCCCCAACATTTGCAGACCCTGGGACGTGCTCATGGGAGCTGGTTCTCGGGATCCCCTCTGGAGGGGCTATCCGACGGGAGGGGGAGGGGAGCATTTCTAAAAACCCAGAGAACAGTGCTCCCACTTTTTGTGTGTACCTGCCTGTAGCCTAGAAGAAACCTAAGGTCTGGGAGTGTCCCCTTGTATGTGTCCTGGCTGAGCTGTCCAGGGCCGGCCCCTGGGAGGTGTCTGGCAGAGGACAGATGACTGCTCGGCTGTGCTCTCGGCTCTGAAAGTCCTCTGGGGCTCTGGGTGTGTGTCTGTCCACCAGTGTCCCGGCTTAGACGAGTACAGAAGGTAGAACAGACCAAGGAGCTTGGCTCGTGGATAAGAGACAGAGGTGTTGTAATGTTTTGGTAAATAGAATTGTTTTCTTAATTTCCATTTTATTTTATTTTTTTGTTAATCCTCACCCAAGCATATTTTTCCATTGATTTTTCGATAGAATGGAAGGGAGGGAGAGCCGGAGAGAGAGAGAAACATCGATGTGAAAGAGACACATCAGTTGGCTGACTCCCACCCAACCCCAGCCGGTGCCAGGGATCTAACTTGCAACCCAGGTACGTGCCCTTGATCAGGAACTGAACCTGAGACTCTTGAGTCCTTGGGCTGACACTGAGCCAAGCTGGCTGGGCTAATTTCCTTTTTAAATTGTTCATTGCTACTCTATAGAAATATAATTGATTTTGACGTTTTGATCTCATACTCTGCAACTGCTGTGTGCATTTCCTCATGTGAGGGTTTTCGAGATGTGAAGACTCACCATTTCCCTTTCCTGTCTCATCACCAGAACGTCCAGAGGTGGTGGACAGCAGTGTAAGAGCGGACTCCTCCTCCTCTTCCTGATCTTAGGGAAACAGCCCGGCTCTCACCACAGAGGCTGACGTTAGCTGGGGCTGCAGTATCTGGGCTTTTAGTATGTGGAGGAATTTCCCTTCCGTTCCTGGTTTGCTGAGTCTTACCCGGTGCCTTTTCTGGATGAAGATATTCCTGGCATGAATCCCACTTGGTCACAGCGAATCGCCTGTTTAGAGGGTCCTGAGTTTGGTTTACTAAAACTTGGTTGAGGACGTTGCATCAGTATTCGTCAGGGATGTTAGCTGGTAGTTTTCTTGCAGTGTTTTTGGCAGCTTCTGGGGCTGCTCACACTGCTCCCCAGAATGCCCAGCGCAGCATCCTCCAGCCTCTTCCCCACTGGATTGTGGTCTAGTGACAGGTGCTGTCAGTCTTTGCTGGGACTCTGCTCCCCTAGGCTCTGTCTTGGGGTGTAGCAGGTATCAGGAAAGAATATCACTGGTTGCCTTTCCGGGCTCCTGTGTGCATGTCTTTCCCTGGGTAAGACCCTGTCAGGCCACCTGCTGCCTGGGTCCCACATGTCCCTCAGGGCAGGAGGGTGGAAGGGCCAGATGCTGCTTCCCCGTGTCACGTGGCAACGCTGAGACTTCAGGTTTGCAGTACAGCCATCTTCTGACTTGGAGGAAGTGGCCCTTTCTCCATGCAGAGTGCCCTTTCCATCTGCTGTCACAGTGTGGGACAGGTGAGGACAGGAGGAGTGGAGCCTCCTAGCAGGGAAGTCCCACGTCAGCCTGCGAGGAGGGCAGGGCCCTGTGCAGGGTGCCTGGGAGAGGAAGGGCTCAGGGGTTGAAGCAGAGTCGGGGAGCAGCTGGGAGGCCGATGGACTGCTAGCCTGAGCCCCGAGCCCTGCTCTCCTCCTCGTGTGGAGACCAGGGGCGTTTGGCATGGAGGCTGGGGGCTCAGGGGGAGAACTTCGGCAGCAGCCCATCTACTGTGGTCACACCTTTGCCTGACCCTGAGCCTCAGTCTCCCCAGGGTTCTGTCTTATCTTTGAAATGAGAAAAAAGACGCCGGCTATTGCCCTGGTCGGTTTGGCTCAGCGGTTAGAGCGTTGGCCCGCAGTCCAGAGAGTCCCGGGTTTGGTTCCCGCTAAGGGCATGTACCTCGGTTGCAGTTTGTCCCCGGCCCTGGTTGGGGTCGTGTGGGAGGCAGCCGGTCGATGTGTCTCTCTCACATTGATGTTTCTCTCTCTCCCTCCCTCCCTCCCTCCCTCCCAGTCTATCTGAAGATAAAAGGAAAAATATCCTCGGATGAGGATTAAAAAAAAAAAGAATGCCCACTCTCAGCCTTGGCCTGTGTGGCTCGGGTGGCTGAGAGTTTCTGATGTAAGGGTTGCCGGTTCAATTCCCCCGTTGGGGCACATACACAGGTTGCAGGTTTGATTCCCCAGTTTGGGTACAGAAACATCAATCGAGGCAAATGATCGCTGTTTCTCTCTCGCTAAAAAGTCAATTGAAAGCTGACTTGCCCGGGCTTCTGTGCCCTGGCCACCAGGGCTGTGCAGGCCACAGGGAGAGGCTGAGCCTCTGGGCAGGCCTGGGTCCCGTGGGGTCTGACTCACTGTCTCTCTGCAGCAGCAGCAGCAAGTCCTCTGCACATGCTGGCGACACATGCGTCAGCGTCGGCCTCCCTGCCCACAAAGCGCCACAATGGCGACCAGTCGGAGCAGTCAGAGCTTAAGCGGGTCAAGACCGAGGACGGGGAGAGCATCGTCATCGCCCTGAGCGTGGACGCGCCGCCGGCGGCCGTGAGGGAGAAGGGCGCCCAGAACTAGCGGCCCTGGAGCTTCCCACTTCCCTGTCGACTCTGGTGCCAAAGGAGACACTGCCCTTCACGGATGCCGGGAGCGCGTCCCTCGGGGGCAGAGGGCCCTGCGGTTGGACTTCACGTCAGCACTGAAAACACAAAACCCAGGTGGCCTTAAAACTCCTTAAAGACAGAAATCACACCTGAACTTGAAACCACACAACAAACCTGGTCCCAGCAGAGTCCCCGCCCAGCGCTCGCCTTTTAACCCTGAGCAGACTCGGCCCTTCCGAGTGAGGACGGCGCCTGGTGCGAGCAGGTGGGCCCGACGGCCCTCCTGAAGGGGACAGCGAGGAGCCACCTCAGGACCCCGGGCTGCAGATGAGACAGTATTTTGTTGTTCACATGTGGAATTAGAGTATTTTGAGGTTACTTTCTTTACAGAATAATGGGGTCTTTGACATTTCAGATCACTCCATTTCTACTCTGGAAGTTTGGACCCACACAGGACCTTTCGTGTGGGTTCCATTTGAGAAAAGAACAGCATAGCTCTGTTTTCGTTGCTTGTTTCCAGCCTCTGGAAGGATTTCCGGTGTGCTGTTCAAGATCGGGAGGAGTTCGTGATGGCAGCAGCCCCGTCCTGGTGGAGCAGCTGCCTGATGAGTTTACTCCTCCGTGTCGGTGTGTAGGACGGACAGATGGACTCGGCGGGCTGCATGGATGAACTGCTGGACTTGCGGGCTGCACTTGTTTTTCTTGCTACTTTTTGTTGTTTCTTTGTGTTGACTTTGTCCCTGGCATCATTTTCCACTCTAAGTAAAACAAGTCTCCTAAGTATTGTGTGTTTAAAATAACAGAACTATTCCTACTTTATTTGGGGGGAAAATTCAATCTTTTATCACACACCCTCCCTTTCCAATAATGTCCCAGAGCTCTTGGTGACAGTGTGTTGTCTTAGGTGCCCTCACCAACTCAGCATCGTCTGACCAGCTGTCTGCCCGACTCTGCCCCACTCACCCTGCTGCTGGGGCGGGGCAGAAACTGCTTGTTAATACAGGGTCTTGGAAGCAAGCGCCCTGTGGATAAATATTGGAAACATCTAAGTTGTTTTCTGATTTGTAACAGGAAATTTCCCTCAACCTTTCAAAACTGCATCCCCTACTAAGGCTGACTTCTCTCCTACAAAAAATAAAAGCAAGAGAAAAGAAAACCAAGGTGAGAACGGAAAGTAGGAGGCACGCCTCACGGCCTCAGCTCATGCTCCTCTGGAAGAAACCACTCGCCTTTCCAGAGTGTTCTGGGGGTCAGGGCTGAGCAGCCGTGCAGCTCGAGAGGTTTGGCCTCATTATGAATTTTTAAATGTCATCATCATAACATTATTTATTTAAATGTAGTTTGGTATTTAATTTTTTTTTTAAAGAGAGGGAAAAAAACCTGTATTTTCCTGGTGGAATGAAACAACTCAGAATGGTATATTTAGGCAATTTTAAAACACTTCTTATTTACCTAAAGACCAAATATGATCAATTTGTTCTAAGTATTGTGTGTCAATCCAAAGTATGGAGCTGTCACGATGTTACTGCAGATGATGCGTATTAAAGATTATGAACTTGCTGCACAGTAGCTGGATTTATACTCAGCCATTTAAAAATAAAACGGAACCATCAAGTGAATGAGACCACGTGTGTGATGGGCCGAGTCCAAGTCGCAGACTCGAGCGGGCGGGCGCACCCCGGGCAGCACTGTTATCTTCGGGCATTTCAGACACCTTGGAACATGTGTCTTCACTTGGCTTTTTGTTCGGAAGGTTAGCAAACTGCAGAATAACTCAGACTGTGCCGTGTCCTGTGGGGTGCCCCAGGGAGCTGTCGGTAGGTGAGTGGACAGGACCACCCCAGGGGGGAACTTGGCTTAGGCAGCAGAGAGCAGACACACGGTTGTCCTCCTGGAGACACGTCCACATGGCAGCGTGCCTGTCACTACCGGGGGGCGGGCGGGCGCATCCTCCCTGCTGAAGCCCAGCCCATCTTCTGGTTATTTCTGAGCCCAAAACAGAGCTTTTGGGTCTGGAGGAATTTCTGCTGGGATGATAAGTACCCAGTTCTCAAACTTTAAAAAGAGTTTTTTGTGTGGGGGGGGGTTTGGTTTGTTTTTGCTGGACTGTGCCTTTTTCAGAGGTGAGGGTGTTCTCTGTACTTTGTCCTTCCTGTTACCTTATTAGTCGGCTCACTAGTTGGCGCATAGAAATATAAGGAGGAGGCTGGAAGAAACACGGATTAGAAAACTACCATAGTCCAAGCAAGTTTTTTTTTTCAACTTAGCTCTGAGTCCCCAAGAGCCCTCAACACACCAAGGCCCCCAGAGCCGTGTCCCTGCCACACCCTGGAGGCCTGGTGCGACAACCTTGTGTCCCACTGAGCTCCCTCCCGGCTGTCCACTGGCACTTTTTAACGTCTTGTTTTAAGAAGTTTCTACTTTGACTTTTGCCAAACTTCTGAGCTCCCTGAGGGACTAGAACCTTCGTTCCTGCAGCTTTGCCCAGAACCAAACAAAACTCTGAGAGGGGAACTCACTTGTGCCCCACAGGGCGGTGCGTCCCAGGGGCCAGCACGGCGGGCTGGGCTTCTGGCAGTGGGTCCCCACGCGCAGCTGAGCTCCTGCGCTGGGACAGGAGCAGCCAGGAGTCATGGTCCGAGGTGGGCGATGTCAGGACATGGGGTTCCGTGCTCTGTGACAGCAGATCGGTGACAGTCTTCACGTCCTAACTGCCATCAGTCCAGAGGTATAGTGGCGGTGTGTGTGCAAAGATCTGAAATTTTAAAAGTATCAAGTTCCTGAAATCCAATAAAATATTTTTATTAATTTTAATTGAATACAGAGTATCATTGTTATTTTGATCATCTTAAGCAGGCATTTCTTTTTTTGCTTTTTACTTTATGCTGCTTTCCAAGTGCACCAGAGGCCTAGACCCTGGAGCGGATGTGCGAAGGAGCTGCCATGTGGCCGCCATGGAATCTGCCCAGCAGACAGGCGTGTGGGAGGCACAGGTCATGGGCTGAGGTGACTCAGAACCAAGGCCACTGCAAACAACCTGCGATATGGCCTCCTACAGGATGAAATCTTATCAAGTTTCCACACTAACACTGGTCGTCCAGCTGCTACAAAGTCTGGCACGGACTGCCGATGTCCCGACGCTTCCCCAAGCAGTTCACTAATCTCGGGGTGCTGGAGGGAGGGAGTCCTGAGGGATGGCACGAAGGCCCCCTGGGAGCCAGATGAAGCTAAAGTCACAGTCAAGGACAGTTCACATGGAGTGTTTCATCCCCTACGCTGAGGCCCTGATTTAAAACTATTCCTATTAGAAGAAAACTGCTCCTTATATACTGAGACTAGTTCTAACAAGGAGGCATTTACGATGCTCTCCAGATGTCCGTGTTGTGTTATAGACACTTTAACACTCATCACGCGCTCACCGCCTCTCCCAGGAAAAGCTACTCTGCTGCTCCGTCGGTTCATCTGCTGACGTTACACTGAGTCTAAGGAGAGCTGACGCCCATCTCAGAGGGTGACCTACCTTCACTCACAAAGAGTTGAGTGGAGGAGCCTGTCACTTCAGACACGGGAGACAGTTCAGTGAGCCTGTTAATTGCTGAGGAAGGCCACACCTGTCTGTGACAAGGCATCGGCACACGGTGAGCCCGTGTGCAGGCCCCTCGCGTAAGCGTGGGAGTGACCAGGGAGGGGAAGGCCCTCCGGCACCACGGTTTAGACGCAGCGCTGGCCAGTGCCCACCACACTAGGTTGGCAACCTCTTGTTACTTCCACTGTGCTTAAGTCCACAGCAACACACACGTCAGATTTTCACATGGGCCTCTGATGACCGCTCACGAGACGACTAGACCTGGGCACACGTGTCCTGACGAGAAATGTCTGTCAGAGGCCCTGTGGTGTCAGCGAACTGCCCGAGTGTCTCCCAGTGGTCACGGCAAACCACCTCCCAGTACTGTGGGAAAAGACAGCAGCAGACAGATCGGGTTGGGGGGATTGAAAGTGGAAGAGCCACCGACATAGTGACTTTTCCTGGGTTGTGTTTCCTCCTGTATCTCCTGGCACAGACTCAGGCAGCCTGAGTGTCAGACGTGCGTGTTAGGGACAAACACTGAAACACCCAGGACTGCCTCTCATTCAGCCAGAGTCCTGGAAGAGGGCCCTGTGAGACCGTGGGGATCAGGCAGCCCCACACTAAGTGACTCTGAGGATTCGGGAGAATCCCTGTCACTTCTCTCTCACCATTCTGGCCTCACACTGGACCCAGTCACAGGGAATCTGCAAGATCACAAGGATGCAAAACCCTGAGCATTTTAACCAAAGGACCAGGAAAGGGGTGCCCAGGAGATGATAAATGTGGGGGGAGGTCACGGCAAACATGAAGTTAGAGAAGGATCCCCAAAAGCTGCACATGACAATGCTGGGTTCAGCTGAGCTACACCAGCCTGACCCTGACCTGGGGAAGCAGCGATTTGGTCACTGACTGCCATGCAGCTGGGCCCTGGTGGTGTGCATGGGCTTGGGAAAAACACCAGAACCACAGGCTGAACCTAGCCAGACTCTTCACCAGCTTTTAAAAAAAACAACCCTGGTCAGTTTGGCACAGCGGTTAGAGCGTCAGGTTCGGTTTCCGCTAAGGGCATGTACCTCAGTTGCAGTTTGTCCCGGCACTGGTTGGGTCGTGGGAGTGGCAGCCACTTGATGTGTCCTTTTCATGTCGATGTTTCTCTCTCTCTCTCTCTCTCTCCCTCCGTCCCCCCTCCTACTCTATCTAAACGAAAAATGGAAAAGTGTCCTCTGGTGAGGATTAAAAAAAAAAAATTCTCCAGAAGATTTTAATAGGGTTTGGTCTCATAATATACAAAATGTCTAGAATACAGTCCAAAATTGATAAATAAAGTTCCAGGAGACTCTCCAAAGGGACATGAAAATTCACAAATGTCAACATCCGTGTGCTGGAACAATGAGAATACGTGAGTGCTTCCTATAGCTCTGATTACTAACATGCTCCATGAAGTGAGGGCAAATGCTCTCACAATGAACCAAAACTTCTATACCTTAAAAAGAAGAAGAAGAAATAAACTGAAATGAAAAATTTAGTGAATGAACAGAAAAACATTTAGAAACAGAAACAACTAAGTAAGCTTCAGGGACTTTGGGACGCTATAAAAAGATCTAATGTGTGTGTTGGTTGGTGGATTCCAGCAAAAGAGGAAAGGGGCTGGTTGAAAAGTAACTTTTTAGCCCTGACTGGTCTGGCTCAGCAGTTAGAGCATCAGCCTGCAGTCCAGAGAGACCCGGGTTCGGTTCCGCTAAGGGCATGTACCTCGGTTGCAGTTTGTCCCCGGCCCTGGTTGGTTGGGCGGGTGGCAGCCACTCCGTGTCCCTTTCACTTCAATGTTTCTCTCTCTCTCTCTCTCTCTCTCTCTCTCTCTCTCTCTCTCTCTCTCTCGTCGTCTCTCTCCCTCCCACTCTATCTGAACAAAAAGTAGAAAAATGTCCTCTGGTGAGGATTAAAAAAAAAAAAAAAAACTTTTAAAAAAGAAATAATGGTTGAAAATAGTCCAAATTTGGTAAAAGGCATAAATTTAGATTCACAAAGTTCAGTGGACCCTAAATAGGCTAAACTCAAAGAAAATAATGTCAAGACATATACTTTTGGCCCTGGCCGGGTGTGTTCAGTGGTTAAAACATCAGCCTGAGGACCAAAGGGTCTCGGGTTCGATTCCTGGTCAAGGGCATGGACCTGGGTTGCAGGTTCGGTCCCCAGCTGGGGTCGGGGTGCATGCAGCGGGAGGCAGCCGATCTATTGCAGCAGTCTGTTTTTCTCACCCCCTCCCTCCCACTCTAAAAATCAATGGAAAAAAATCCTCCAGTGAGGATTCACTAACCAAACAATAAAACATAGCTTTGACCCCAGAAACTGATAGCCTTTCATCTGGAAGACAGACGAAGAAAAGTGTCCTTGTGTGCAGAGCAACAGCAAGGGGACCCGGTTCCCTTCCGGAGACCACGGTGGACAGCAATGGAAAACAGGCCGAAAGTAACCGTCTCTCAGAATACTGTGTCCTAGACAGTGTCAGGAATGCCGATGAACTAAAGATATTCTTAGATGAAAAAAAAAACTAAGTTCTTAGCCAGCAGAGCTGCTGGAAAAGAAATATGAAAGGAAGTTCTTCAGGCAAAAAGTAACAGAGAAACTTGGAACTTCAGGAATTAAGAAGTCAACAGAAATGGTAAATACTTGGGCAAATATAAACAAATTTTTCCTCTTCAGTTCTTTGACTTTTCAATGTGGAAATTGTAACACTGTCTCAGGGTTAGTAAATGTAACAGATTGAGTTGCACCGGGAGGACGGGAAGGTTTGTGAGGTCTCCGCATTCCACTGCAAGTGGTAAACATTAATTCTGAAGTAGAGTAAAGAGTTAACTTTGTAATCACTAGCGCAATTGCTAACACCTAACAAAGATAAAGGAAAATGCCAACAGGTAAATTGAGATGGAATGTTAAACTTTTCAAACCCAGGCGACCCTGGATGCTGTGTTCCAGACCAATGCAATGAAGCAGACACCACAGTAATGTGACCCGAGTCCCACCAGTTTTTTGGTTTCCCGGTGCATTTAACATTTTACACTGTAGGGTGGTCTATTAAATGTGCTTTAAAAGTTATCTAAAAAAAATGTACATAGCTTAAATCCAGAGAAACAAACCACAGATTAGTGGTTACCAGGAGATGGGAGGAATGGGGAGTGATTTCTTAGGTAGGAGGTGTTTCGGGGGGCATGAGAAAGTTGTGAAAATGGAGACAGGTGGTAGCTGCCCAATATTGTGAATACACTGAATGCCACTGACTTGCACAATGGCGCTGTGCATGTTGTATAAATTTTTCCTCAGTAAAAAACTAAGAAAACTTAAGGCCTAGATATCACTAGCAAATTCTACCAAATGTGGAAGAAAAAAAACCTCTTCAAGGATGTAGCAGAACACCTACCTGGTGAAAACACAGAGCCACGTGAAATAGCAGGGGTCTCGAACCCGTCACAGACTGGATAAAGTGAAACTGTATAACTCAGCAACCTCACTCTTGATAACTTATCCAAGACAGACAAAAAGTTGCAGTCCCCTCAAAACTATCCGAATGTCTGGAAGAGCACTTTTATCATCTCCCAAATCTGAAAATGTCCTTCAGTGACTGAAGGAAGGAACACACACAGTGGATGCTGCTTGGCGGCGGAAGGAATGAACTACTGACAGCACACGCCAGCCTCAAAGGCCTTACCCTGAGGGACAGCCAGACACAAAGGCTACCTACTCTGCTATGGGCTGAACAATATCATCCTAACCCTGGGACCTGTGAAAGTGACACCATTGGAAATAGGGTCTTTGCAGATGTGATCCAGTTAAGATGAAGCCATTAGGGTGTCCTTCTAAGAGGAGGAGAAAAGGGCAAAGACACACAGAGGCAGAAGTTGCCACGACCCATCTCCAAGCCAAGAACTGCTGGCAACCACCAACAGCTAGAAGCGAGGCCTGGGACAGATTCCCTCAGTGCCCGGAATGAACCGACCCTGCCAATACCTTGATTCAGACTTCTAGACTCCAAAACTCTGGGAGAACAACTTTCTGCTGTGCTAAGCAGCCCAGTTCATGGTAGTTTGACACCACAGCCCTCGGAAGCTGCTACACTGTAACACTTCATTGATAGGACATTCTGAGAAATCGCTAGAGTAAGTCACTCGGAAATTGCTACACTGTAAGACTTCATTGATAGGACATTCTGAGAAAGTGCTGCAGAGTAAGTTAGTGGTTGCCAGGAGCTGGGTGGTAGTGGGAGGCTACCAAGGGAACATGAATACTAGGGGTTGTAGCTACACAACTATGCATGACAACACTCCTGAAACTCTGCACACCCAAAAGAAAGCAAGTGAATTTTAAAATTAAAAATGATCCCTCTGCCAATGAGTTATTTGCTGGTGAATGGGCTGGGCCCTTGCGTGTGTGCACTGGTGCACTGCTGGCCTTAACCCCGTGTGGGGCTGTGGTTCAGAGCTGCGGTAGTTGTGGAGGACGACGCCTGAGAAACTGCCTCCTCCACAGCAGGTGACCAGTGCTGGCTCCTTCTGGCTGCCCTCTCTTGGGGACCCTATGGTTAAAAAACAAGTAAGTGTTTACAGCATGATGAAACTTGGAAACATTAAGAGACAGGAGGTCTGCCAGGGACAGGGGAGGGGAGAGTGCGCAGTGACTGCTAATGGGCCGGGGTCCTGCTTTTGAAGTGATAGAACGTTCCAGAACACGATGGCTGCAATGCTGTGAAGGTACTGAATGCTATGTAATTTTTTTATTATTTTATTTTGTTTCACTGGCTCTTTTTAAATCTTTATTGTTGACTGTATTACAGATGTTCCTCATTTTTCCCCCGCTGACGCCTTCCTCCCCACTCCCGCCCCCCTCCTGCCTTTTCCCACACTGTTGTCTGTGTCCATTGATTATGTATATAAGTTCTTTGGTTTATTTCTTCCCACCCCCAACCCACTTCCTTTTGAGGTTTGTCAATATAGCAACCAATTTTTTTTTTTCATTTTTATTTTTTATCCTCACCTGAGGACATTTTTCTGTTCGGATCGAGAAGCAAGGAGGGGGGAGGGAGGGGGAGAGAGAGAGAGAGAGAGAGAGAGAGAGAGAGAGAGAGAAACATCAATGTGAAAGGGACATATTGAGTGGCTGCCACCTGCATGACCAGGGCCGGGGACAAACTGCAACCAAGGTACGCGCCCTTAGTGGGAACCAAACCGGGGTCTCTCTGGACCGCAGGCCAATGCTCCAACCGCTGAGCAAAACTGTTCTTCTTAATCTCTTCACCCTTTTCACCCATTCCTCCACCCCCCTCCCATCTGGCAACCAACAAAATGTTCTCTGTATCTATGAGAATGTTTCTGTTCTGCCTGTTCATTTTGTTTGTAGATTCCATTGTCGATAGCCATGTATTCATTGCCATTTTGTTTGTTCATATATTTTATCTTTTTCTTCAAAAAGACCCTTCAACATTTTATATAATAACAGTTTGGTGGTGATGAACTCCTTTAACTTTTTCTTGTCTGGGAAACTATATCGATTTTAAATGACAGCTTTGCAGGACAGAGTAATCTTGGTTGTAGGTTCTTGCTTTTCATCACTCTGAATATTTCTTGCCACTCCCTTCTGGCTTACAAGGTTCTTTTGAGAAATCAGCTCACAGCCTTATGGGAACTCCCTTGTAGGTAACTGCTTTTCTCTTGCTGCTTTTAAGATTCTCTCTTTGTCTTAAACCTTTTGCATTTTGATGATGATGTGTCTTGGTGTGGGCCTCTTGGAGTGCATCTTGTTTGGGACTCTCTGTGTTTCCTGAACTTGTATGTCTATTTCCTTCACCAAGTTAGGGAAGTTTTCTGCCACTATAGTTTCAAATGGGTTTTCAATTTCTTGTTCTCGCTCTTCTCCTTCTGGTAACCCCGAGATGTGAATGTTGGCACGCTTGAAGTTGTCCCAGAGGCTCCTTACACTAGCCTCATTTTTTTTTGGATTCTTTTTTCTTTTTGCTGTTCTGATTGGGTGTGTTTTGCTTCCTTAGATTCCAAATCGATGGTTTGCTTCTTGGCTTTACCTACTCTACTATTGAATCTGTGTAAATTATTCTTTATTTCAGTTAGTGCCTCCTTCATTTCTGACTGGTCCTTTTTCATGCTCTTGAGGCCTCACTAAGTTCGCTGAGGTTCTAAGTTCATTGAGCATCCTTATAAGCAGTATTTTGAACTCAGCATCTGTTAGGTTGCTTATCTCCATTCCGCTTAGTTCTTTTCCTGGAGATGTTTTCGGTTCTTTCATTTGGGGCCTGTTTCTTTGTCTCCTCATTTTGGCTGCCTCCCTGTGTTTGTTTCTGTGTATTACTTAACGAGAGGTATGGGGCTAGCTGAGACCAGATGCTGCTTGTTTGAAAGAATTTAGGAAAACCTGAAGCAGGATCCAAGACAGGCCAATCCTATGGTAAAGCAACTGGCAACAGCTTGGGTGGGCCTGAAAGTCAGGTGGGGCGGGACCTCAGGGAATCACCAGAGCTGGGCAACCAGTATGAGCCAGGTTGCTGGAGTCCCAGATATGGCAGCTGTCTGCTGCCCCAGGGAAGGGCTCACCAAAGGAACAAAGGCCTCTGACAGCACGTTTGTCCCGGAGAAAGCCCCTCTCCAGCCCTCGCTCCAATGCCAAACAGTTCAGTTCTTCCCTGTATGTCTCTGACGCCCCTCAAGATGCCTCCCCTCCAAGCTTAGAGGGAGAGAGTCCCATTAAGTCCGTGTTCGGGCCCTTTAAGAGGAGCTGCCTGGGCTCCAGCCTCCTCAGCCTCCCTGAGCCTGTTCCCACTTGTTTTACAGCCAGAAGTTATGGGGATTCCCTTCCTGGCACTGGAACCCTGAGCAGGGCGCCTGGTGTGGGATGGGGACCCCTCAGTCCTCAGGGATGACCTTCCCAGCCGAGGTGTCCTCCTGATTTTACCCACCACACGTGGGTGTGGGACCAGCCTGTCTGCCTCCACCCCTCCTACCAGTCTCAATGTGGCTGCTTCTTTAAGTCCGTAGTCATAGGACTTCCATTCAGCTCGATGTCAGGCGGTTCTGAATGATGGTTGTTCTGCAGTTTGGTTGTAACTCTGATGTGGTCGTGGGAGGACCCGATACCACGTTTACCTACCCGCCGTCTTGACAGGAAGTCTGCCATGTGTTTTTTAAATGGTCAAACTGCTTTGGCTCAGTGGTTGGAGTGTCGGCCCGTGGACTAAAGAGTCGTGGGTTCGATTCCGGTCAAAGGCACAAAGCTTGGTTGTGGTTTGTACCCAACTCTGGTCAGGGTCATGCGGGAGGTGGCCAGTTGATGTGTCTATCACACTGATGTTTCTCCCTCTCTCCCACAGCCACTCTATCTGAAGATAAATGAAAAATACCCTCGGGTAAGGATAATAAAGTGGTTAAGCTGGTCAATTCTGTTTGCACCCTGCCATAGTGGTGCTTCACTTGCGGGTGGGGTGAGCCTACGGTCTGCATGGCCACCCTAACCTGCACAGGTCGAACCCACAGTGGCTCCTGGGGCCCGTGTTGCTGCTCTGCAGCTGCTTCCTTTATGGAGAGTGAAGCTCACTTCATCCTGCTGAGGATCCTGAAGATCTGGCAGGAGATGAAAGACGTGCGCACCCCCCTGTGCAGTTCCCAGCCCACCCTCTTCCCGGGCAGGCGGCTGACATGGGGCCTTGGACCCCCGCAGCTCACCTGGGCTGGGTCCGTCACAGCCCACAGCTTGAAACAGTTTCACAAGCACTTCTCCAAGAACCTTATTATATTCAAACCCCAGCACAGCTACATTTTATCAGGCAATTCTCCCACCCCTCCCATTAAAAACAAACTATAAAAATGGCCAGAGTGGAGAAGGAACATTGCCTGATTTCACCACAATGATGGTCTTGTCCCTGGGTGTAAGGGGAGGGTCTACATGGGGCCCAAAGGGGCTGAGGCATTTGTCCTTCCATAGAGACAAGGCCGTGCCCTAGGCGGCTGCACACCGAGGCAGTGCCAGGGTGTGCCATGTCAGCCCACCCTGCCTCCCTCTCCAGTCCCAAGGCCCTGTGCACATCAAATTCCCATGCTTCCTTTATGGACATTTATTCCCAGCTCAGTGTACACTGGGACACACCAGAGAGACTGTGCTGGGGAAAATACAAACTGGTAATAATTATACAGATGTGAAGTATGCCTCCTACTCCCCTACTTAAAGTTGGGGCTGAAATGTTAGCTGAGAGAGCGTGAAACAGATGGGGAAGCCCAACACCACATGGTGAGTGGAGTCCAGGTCCGCCCCGACAGTGGGCAGAGCAGGGCAGACAGACCATGGAAACCAATGATGAGTATCTCCTCTCTTCGCCTCTGCTCCCAGCCATCACCCACAGGGGTGGCAGGGTGCCCTGCAGCATTGGTTTCCGCCTGGCCCTGCCACAGCAGCCCCGACAGGCAGGGTACACTGGCCATCCCTGGAGCCCGCAACCCAACCAGATTCTCGAAATTAGGGGCTTGGTTTTGTATCGTACAACTTTTTTTTGGTTTTCCCTTGAGGAGTACAGAGTACAACAAAATTAGTCACTTTTATTTAAAGGAAACATTAAAAATAAGTGTGCAAAATTAAATTTCATGATTAAATACACATGAGAGGAACACGCATGCTTTACGCTGAACCCACATACACAGTTAGCAGATTACACGACAGCAAAGACCTGGCGAGACGGAGAACTTGCTGCAGGTTTTAAATGTTTGCACCTGAAATCAAAACCATAAATTAGGTTTCTTTAAAGGGGATTTAAGAAAATCAAATATAGTCCTCAAGTAGTACTAACAACGTCGAGCCCATAACCTGTTTTTGTTACCAAATGTTAAAAAAAGTTGTGTGCCTTTCATTCTCACAACATTCGTGTGCAGCTTTTCTTATAGATGTTGGGGATGAAAAAGGTGGTGAGACAGGGAAGTGGACATGGTGGCTAAGGCCTCCCGCTCCACTTTACTGAGATGTCAAATGTTTCCCTTCATATCCTCCAAATTAAGTGGCGCTTTCTCCTATGACTAATGCCTGGAGCCTGTGCACACAACAGGAAAACTCAGTTTTCACCGAGAGTCTCACCAGGAGACCCCAAAGTGCCCTACTCACAGGGTGGGCCTGGCGTCTGCCTCAATTCCGGCAGAAGGGACGCCAGCAGGTGCGCACACAACCAACCAGGGCTACAACAGGCGCGGGAGGACCAGGACGCGGGACTCATGAGGGAAATGCCCGCCTGTGTTCTCTAACACAGCTGTGTCGCTTTCCTTCATGTTCAGATGGGAGAAAATTCCTTTCTCCTTTTCTAAGGCAAGCTGCTGGTATTTTTCTATTTAAATCTGGTTATAATATAAGAACTAACATTTACACATCTGCTCATTTCCCCATTATAGACTCAGTGAAAATGATGAAATTTGTTGTCCACCCTTTTCCCAGCCCAGCCCCTAAGTCTGTACGGAGCCCCCTGCAGGTGGGAGGAAGCAGAGCCATTGGAGCTGGCATCACGGCCAAGCTGCTCAGAGCCACCTGAGTGTCTGGGGTGCCTCTGCGGCTCGTCCGCTAACACTGGGGATGCGAAGCTTGCTCAGGAAAACACACAACCACCTATGGCTTCAAGACCAAGGTCCCTGGACGGTCCCTCCAGCCTGTCACCCACAAGGCCCAGGGGTGCTGGCACCAGCCCCAGGAGTTTGTGGGGCACACTCGGCACTTTGGGGGCACTCGGCCACGGGCGTTGATTGCACTCTGGGTGAAGAGTCACAGCTTGTCGTCGGTCATTTCTAGAAACTGCGCGTAGACGTCCCGGATGCACTCCCCCTTGGGGTTGAACAGGAATTTGTAGTAGCTGCCGTCTGCACAAATTGCTGCGACAGAAGGAGACCAGTTTACTCACATGTCTTCCCGCAAAGTTCAAAGCAAGCAGCCCTCGCTCAGCTCAACTGAAATGCCTTGCGGAGCACTGAGCAGCTGATTTGTGCATGAATTTGTGGATGGCCAGAGGTGCCCCTTCCTCACTGAGCACATACATGGCCAAGAGTCCCAAATGTTCTGGAAGTGTTGGCAATAGGGAAAAAAACCTCTTTGGTCATCAGTTCAAAAACCACCTGATTTGCCCCCAAGATATACTGGGAAACCCCAAAGGGCAGGGAGCTGGTAACACCCCACATGGTTGTGTAGGCCCTGAGTGGGATGCACGGTACCCCCAGTAGAGCTGGGTTAGCACAGCCAACACTGGGGTAGGGGTGTAGGGGGCTTGTCATTCTCCTCTGGAAGGACCACTTACCAATGACAGCATTTGGCTCCGTTCCAAAGGCACAAATGCATGGAGAGCCTGAGGGAACCTGAAACTTGGAAAAACTCCACTTGGAACTGAAGTATTTGGGAAGGAAACTGGCTGATGCCAAACTATGAGGACAAGGAAGAAAAGGAAAGGAATTACACTCACGTAACGTAAAGACACAGCTCTCTTTAACACAGCTTTAGCCTTAATAATTTGAATTCTATTTTTGCTATGAACTTTTTTTTTTCACATAAAAAAATAACGGGCACAGATTTCTACTGTCACTACATTAATTTTCTGAACACAGCGAACACAAACACAGCCATGGGCATTCAGGATCAAGGTGCCTGGGTCCTCAGCAGACATTTTCTAAGGAGTAGACGACAGGAAATAATAATGCACTGTTTTCACAGAACAGAAGGGACAGCATGAAGGCCCCACCATGACTTCACGCTGCATTCGCCCACAATGGAGCACAGCTGAGCCCTTCTGGAAACCCACCTAGACTGTTTATTCCTTTTTGGATCTTCAGCAGCAAAAATGTGCACTGTGCCGTGGTCACTGGACACGCAGATGAGGGACGCGTCCTGATTGAAGTTGATGCTGCAGAGAAACCAGGCTCAGGTGTCACTGGATGTGGGGGAGCCCAGCCCAGCCACAGCAGCAAGCCCATCGAACTGGCGCCTGCCCCCTGGCCTTTCCATATTCGAGACAGTGATTTAAGAACTGCCCCTCCTTGAGCAAGCCTGTAGTTCTCACCATGGGACCAGGAGGTCAAAGCCACAGCACAACCCTGCATGTCACAAGCAGGTACCTCCCTGGGTGCACGGACAAGGCTGGATGCCAGGGACAGGGAGGGGCTTCCTGCAGATTGACTACAGCCCCGGTGGCCCTGAGGCTGCCCCCACATGCCACTCAGGTGAGAAAAACTCCACTTTTCTGACCACCCTGCCCTCTGGAGGCAAAGGCTGCCCCTCTAGAAGGGGGCATCAGCTGGGCTGGGAGGCGCCGGCTCTGCTGGAGGGGGCCTGGAGAGCAGGCAGGGGAGCATGCTGCACACCACAGGGCCCACAGGTACACTCACTGAATTTATATATGAATTAGATTTTTAATCCCCAGACCCAAATGCTACTCAACACCTACAAAAACCACAGATGGAGAAAGTGAATCCTGCCCAAGCAGGGTCCAGCCACTACAGTACAGCAGGCACCGGGGGGTGTGGTAGCAACTATGGTGGAGAGAGCAGCTCAGTCTCCCAGAGGCGGCAGAAGTGATGACAGATGAGCCACAAGGTCTCTGATATTCACCTTAAAATACTTAAGAAGTGAAGCGGTAACATAAAACTGGTCAATATTGATAAATTCTGAAGCAGGGTGATGGGTTAATGGTAATTACTTTTCTACTTTTGTGTGTATCCCCATCATACATATTATAACTAATAATAAAAAAATGAACTGAAACACGACCTGCCCTCCCCCCAACATAACCGCCTCCTGTCTGCTGCCCAGGGGTTTCGACTGTCCCTCCAGATCACACAGGGCCCATTTCAGTGCATCAGCCTAAAGCAGTGGCCTTGTCTAGGGAGAAGTAGTGGTCGTCCTTACCAATAAATGTTAGCTGCTTGAGATCCTCGTCGTAATTCCTGGATTAAATGCCCTGATGAAGTATCAAATATTCTTATAAGGGTCCCCTTTGAAAAACAGTGAAGTGTTTCATTATCAAAGATTCACAACATTTTAGTTTTTTCAGTGACTTATATTCAACAAACTCACTGGTCCCTCCACCCTTCTCCTAAACTCACCCACACCATCACCTACAACCTGACCTTTCCCTGCATCGTCCCTAAGAATGGGCAGATGGCCCTTTAGTCTGACAGCTCTGGGCAGGGGCCAGCGAGGGTGAGGGAGACTCGGGACCCTTGACTAACCCTGTGCATCTGTTCCCCTGGCAGATGCCCGAAAGAACACCTGGGCCAGGCTGACCTGTCCCTCAAGAGCTGCCAGCTCATCACCTAGAGAAATGGCACCTTAACTGTAACTCCCACAGCCAGCTCTAGAAAAAGTAACGCTGCAATTCTGTTGCCAAAAGATGAGGCGACAAGGTCAAGTGACTTCTGGACCGTCTCTGTCAACTAGGACTTGTTTCCTGCAGAGCCCGTCTGTGAAGTCATAAGGGGTGGGAGGGCAGCTTGGAAGGAACATGACCTCTGCAAGGGCAGGAACACCTGCTTACTTTTTCAGACGCAGTTGCAATTCTTGTTCCCTGCAGGTTGAGTGCAATGCAGCTCAGAACGCCCTCGTGGGCAGGAATGTCCACAGGTGGCTTCTCGGTGCTGGCCAGGTCCACAAGCTGCACGTGGCCTGTGTGTGTGCCAGGGAAGGCCAGGAGGGAGTTGTTACTATTTGGACACAGGACACAGAGGCCTAAACAGACAGAAAACATGTCAAGGATTCACAAGCATCTTCAAAGCCTCTGCTTTCCCACATGCAGAGCCTTGTCCAAACCTGCTCTCTGCTCTCCAGTTTCCAAGGAAAAGAGTAAGATCTGTGGGTTTCCATTTATGTCACAAAGGGTATCAGAGGGCCAAGCAATGCTGCCTCCCATGACACCATCGCATAATTAGGAACATTTGCTGAACTTACTGAATACACTTTATCAGATGTCTGTCTTCTGTGGTGCCAGGCACAGAGAATTAAAATTTGTAAAATCTGAAAATTGCTCCACTAACAATAGCAAAAGAAAATAAAATACTTTACAAATAAGTCCAGTGACAGATTGTAAGACCCTATGACACGTTGTAAAAGAAAACCAAAGATCTGACAGATGAAGCTACACTATGGTCATGGATTGGAATCTAGTCGTCCACCCTTCTGTACAACCACAATTCAAGTTTCCACAGGCTTTTCTGAAGAAAGAGATAAGCTGATACTAACAGTTAAAAGGAAAGGCAAAGATCTTAGAATAGTCAAACATTTGTTTGTAAAATGAGAACAAGATTGGAGGACTTATATTATACTTCCTAATTGCAAGAAATATTTTAATTTTTTTTCTTTATTGATTTCAGAGAGAGAGGGAGGGGGAGGGAGAGAGAAACATGGATGAGAGAGAACAATGACTAGCCAGCTGCCTCCTGAATGCCCCCCACTGGGGATGTGGCCCACAACCTGGGCATGTGCCCTGACCAGGAATTGAACCAGTGACCTCTTGGTGCATGGGTCAACACTCAACCACTGAGCCACACTGGCCAGGTGTAAGAAATATTTTAAAGCTCCAGAAATTAAGGCAGTTTGGTGTTGACATAAGGACAGAAACACAGATCACTAGAACAGAATAAAAGGAACCAGAAAATGCTTATACTTAATTTGATATTTTTAACCAGAATATATAAACAATTCTTACAACTAAGTAATGAACAATTTTAAAACGGGCAAAGATCTGCAGATACTTCACTAAAGACATACAAATGGCAATAAAGCACACGAAAAGATGCTTCTATCACAAGTCCTCAAGGAGATACTATTACCACACCCAGAACATAGTCTAAAGTTTAAAAAATCTGACAAAATCCAGTGTTGGCAACTGGAAGTCTCATAACTTACCAATGGGAATGCAAAATTGGACAGACACTTTGGGAAACACTCTGTTAGTATTCTGTAGCATTAGACGTGTGTATACAGTATGACCCGGCAATTCTATTCCTCAGTATTTCCTCAGAGAAACAAAAAAATATATCCACACGAAAATTTGCTGTTACTTCTTTAATTTTTATTTATTGATTTTCAAAAGGAGTGGAGGGGAGAGAAAGGTCAATTTGTTCTGCTTATTTACACAATCATCGGTAGATTCTTGTATATGCCCTGATCAAGGATCAAACCCCCAACCCTGGTGCATCTGGACGACACTCTCACCAAACAAACTGCCCGACAGGGCTCCACACAGACCTGCACGTCAACACCCATAGCAAGTCCCACTCACAGCAGCGGAGTGCACGGATGAGCAGCTGTGGTGCAGGCTCGCCACGGGCACTGCTCACAGCAGAAAGGAGCGGAAGACACATGGAAGAATCTTACAAATATTAAGCTAAGAGGAAGACACCAAACATCTGAAAAGGCAAAATTTGAAGGTCGGGTGGGGGAGGGGCACTGTCTATCTGGGGAAACTTTTTTGGGTGAAGGGGCTGTTCAGTCTTGACTGTGGTGGTAGTTAAACAACTTTCAACAATTACTAACATTTATCAAATGATATACTCAAAATGAGTAGGTAAACTATATTCTCTAAAGCTAGGAAAAGAACAACAAAATTTTTAAAAAGAAACTAAGCTGATATAATGAACAAAGTCAGCCACAAGCAATCTGCCCTCCGAAAGAAAAAGGAAAGAAAATGCCTCAGAATTCAATGAAAAAGATTCCAGAGCCTACCTCAGAGCTCCTGAAGGGCTGACAATCTCCCTGAAAAATCCTGTGAAGGCCCATGATCAAGGTGAGGTCTGAGAACACTGCCGAGCACCAGGAAATGCTGGGAAGGGTCGCCCAGGAGGAAGTGGAGGGAGCAAGGGAAGGGTGCAGAAGGAATCAGACCACGTCTCCCAGCGAGTGTCTCACGACACCTCAGGGCCATCTCACAAGGAGGGCCCTCAGACAGACCAGCCTGGAAGCCTCATCACGCCTCCTCTGAATTTCTTACCTTTAGGGTTATAGCAGGTTTCAAAGACGTGCAATTGGTGGGGATTGTGAGTGAATGTAAACACCTTAATCATAGAGTCCAAAACAACCACAATTCTAGAAAGAAAAAAACAATCAGAATTCCTCTCCCCAAAGATATGTTATCATTTTGAACCTTTAAACTCTAAACACCACATAAAAAAGGATTCTTCTTGCTTGAATCTGGGGCCCTTGCAGGAGAGGTCTTGGAGCAAGTCACCTGAGAGTCACCTGGGGGCTCAGTCAGCACTAATGAGCAAGCACCTCTCACCTGGTAGAGACCGACTAAAGACCTGAGATTTAAGGCGATATCACCATCTTATAGTCCATCTGGAGTAACATGGGACAGAAATCCCACTTCTATGTGCTTTTAGACGTGTCTGGATAATTTAGAAATGCCAGGAAGGGGAAGTCCTGGATTTGGTCCAGTGTTTGCATCATCACGGGTCCCCCTAAACACTGACTTCACTGGAAGTAACAGACTAAGAATGCAGGGATGACATTCACCTTGTTCAGTGTCTTTGCCCTCCACAGCTGAATATAGTATGTAAATCATATCAGAATAACTCCAAATTAGTGAAGCTTTGCTACCTACTAAGAAAAAACTTTAATACTTCCCTACACTCTGAAGGCAACAGCTGAGAAAAAAACCTGCTCTCAACAGGTTGAAGACACCGTCTCACTGAGGAGTCTCTAAATTTTCCTTTACCTTTCCATTGAAAACGTTTATTGAGGCAGCTTTTGGAAAAGCCTGGTTCAAAACATGTGTCTTCAGCCCTAGCCGATTTTGCTCAGTGGTTAGAGCGTCGGCCTGTGGTCCAGAGAGACCTGGGTTCCGTTCCCACTAGGGGCGCGTACCTCGGTTGCAGTTAGTCCCTGGCCCTGGTTGGTTGTGCGGGTGGCAGCCACTCGATGTGTCCCTTTCACGTCGATGTTTCTCTCTTCCTCTCTCCCTCCCACTCTATCTGAACAAAAAATGGAAAAAAATGTCCTCAGGTGAGGATAAAAAAACAAACAAACAAACATGTGTCTTCAGTCTGCACCTGCTGGATGGGGGCAGCTCTCCTGAAGGACAAGAGCCACCGAGGGCAGCGCCAGGCCAAAGACCTGGTTCAAGGCAGGTGCACTCCGTCCATGCCCACTGCCGCCTTGTTCTCAGGACCCTTGGAGCCTGTAAAATACTCTGCCTTCCTTGCAGCACATAAATCATCCGTATGTCCTCTGACAGTGAACTACAGTCACCACATCTTAATACATCATTTGCCTGATCATTTTTCCCTTCAACATAAAAGTGTTTAGGCCATTTTCAGAGAAAGTGATTATTCCACTTTTTAAAATTGGATATCAAACCTACCTATCTCGCCGCAATTTGACTGCCTTGACTTCTGTAGAAAATTCTATTTCAATAACAGTCTTCTTTTTCAGGTCATCCCAGATCATCACTGAAATATCAGAAATAATTTATGAACACAATAAACAGGCCACTCTGAGGGGGTCCTTTTTTATATAAAGAGGAAGGGAGAGGGAGAGAGAGCTAGAATCATCGAGGAGAGAGAACATCAACTGGCCGCCTCCTGCATGCCCCCCCTGGGGATTGGGCCCACAAGCTGGGCATGTGCCCTGACCGGGAATTGAACCGGCAACCTCTTGGTGCGTGGGTCGATGCTCAACCACTGAGCCACACTGGCCGCCTGAGGGGTCCTTATACCACAATCATCTGACCAGGCAGAGATGCTCTCCCTCCCAGGTTTAGACCTGCCCCTCCTACTCAGGATTCTCCTGTTCCTTCCTCTCCCCCGTGTCAGTGCTCACAGCCCCCTTACACATGGGCCTGCACCTACTCACACATGCTTTCATCTCCTGACAGACCTTGCCTAGTGCTCAGGCAAATTTCTCCCAACTCTTTCTTGGGTTCCACCTGACTGAGCCTAAACATTGCCTCTAAATGTTCAAGTGCTAGAGGGAAACCTGGGTCAGATTCAGTGTGAAGTCAGGTGCATAAAAGCCCAGGCCGGGGACTTCACCGCACCTGACCGTTCCAGTTCTTCAAGCTCAGAAATGTTTGCCTGCTCTGGCTGCAGAGTTTCATCAGGATGGACTAGGAGTCTGCATCCCATGGACTGAGATAACTCACAGATAACCTCTGAGGTTGAGAATGCTGACCAGCAGTGCTAGGGACCTGCAAGGGAATGTGGTATCCGCCATTTTCATCTTCTCTACTTGAAAAGCCCCTATAAAGGGTGTGAGGTGAGGAAAAGCACTTTCTCCTCAACAGTCATGGGCAAGGTGACCAAGATGGGAGGGAATGAATGTTTCCCCTAAAGGCCCTGACACCACAACCAACATGAGTCCTGGAGGCCAAATTCAGGTGTAAGTCTGCCAGAATGAACTAAGTGACTTAACACTCATTCAGATTAAGAGAATTTCACACCAGCCTACAAAAATTACCAAACTTATTATTAAATACCATAAAACTTATTTACTATTGAAGAGGTTACTTGCCCTGGCCGGTTTGGCTCAGTGGTTACTTGCCCTGGCCGGTTTGGCTCAGTGGTTAGAGCGTCGGCCTGTGGTCCAGAGAGACCCGGGTTCAGTTCCCGCTAAGGGCGCGTACCTCGGTTGCAGTTTGTCCCCGGCCCTGGTTGGGTTGTGCGGGTGGCAGCCACTCGATGTGTCCCTTTCACGTCAATGTTTCTCTCTCTCTCCCTCTCTTTCCTTCCCACTCTATCTGAACAAAAAATGGAAAAATGTCCTCGGGTGAGGATAAAAAACAAACAAACAAAAGAGGGTACTTAAAATTTATAATCATTCAATAAATGAAGTAGAGTCCGGCTGATGTGGCTCAGTGGTTGAGCATTGACCCATGCACCATGAGGTCGCCAGTTCAATTCTCATTCAGGACACACGCCCAAGTTGTGGGCCAAATACCCAGAGAGGGGCGTGCGGGGGGTGGGGTGGGGTGGGGGTGCAGGAGGCAGCTGATCAATGCTCTCTCTCATCAATGTTTCTATCTCTCTCTCCCTCTCCATTCCCCTCTAAAAATCAATAAAGTAAAAAAATAAAAAGTAGAGAGTCTTGTTTTCCTGCTCCTTTAAAGTACCATCTTTGTTCCAGAAATCTCTCCACTTAACAAATCTCTGATGTGGGCTCCCCCTTGAGGGGCACTAATGACTAACACACTAACACTAAGTGGAATAACTGCCTCAGTCAACAATCACCTTATTGAAAACAGCTTCTAACACCTACATGTTCACAACCTTCTGGGCAAAGGACACTTCTACTCTTATAACTGATTCAAAAGTAAACTTCCTCTGGTTCTGCACTGAATACCAAAAAGTCTATAATTCCAAACAAATGTAAACTGGCTCAAACCAGACAGGATTCGCAGATAAGCGATGTCAATTAAGGGTGTCAAAAATCTAGGTGAACTCCATTTTCAAAAATGTAAAATGTCTGTTAAGGTGTGATGAAGCCCCAGAGGCAGCGGCACAAATCCACCTCACAGAAGAAAAGGGACCAGACACAATGTCTTGGATGATGGGAAAAAGCCCTCAAGGGCTGTGAGCAGAGTGCCGAATATTTTAGTTTATTGTGCAGGGTTTTGTCTGTGTCTTTTAATACAGTTCCTGATAGCAAACGGTGCAGTCATTATCACGGACCCCTCTGGACTTCTCCTTCTTTGTCCTAAGCTCATGACCAACTGACAAGGGCCTCCGGCCTGAGCAGCACCGGGTAGTCACCGTGAGAACTCAGCTCGTGTGTCTCGCTGTGACCACCAGTCTTGTTTTATTCTGCTTCCCACCCACCAAAGATTCTTTACATTTCAACATGCACCTTAATTTTTAATTAAAATATTAAGAGTAAATTTAAGAAGTAATTTTGACATTATTGAAAAAAAGTATTTTCAATCTTACACAAGTTTAAACAGACCAAGCTGTTTTTTACAATTGCCTTTAGCACTCTAAAAAAAGTAGATTTAAATTTCACTGATAAGTTTTCTTCTAAGTCAGTAAAATAGCAGAGATGCTTTTATTCTTGGAATTTTGTTTTTTTAACTAAGCATAAAACATTTTTATTTATTCATTTTTATTGAGTCCAGAGAGAGGAAGGGAAGGCGGGGAGACAGAAACATCAATAGGTTGCCTCTCCCATGTGCCCAGACTGGGAATCGATCCCTGGGAATCAACCCTGCAACCTGGCAAGTGCCCTGATCAGGAACTGAACCTGCCACCTTTTGGTGCATGGGATGATGCTCCAACCAACTGAGCCACACTGCAGGGCAGAATAAGACGTTAAAGGTAAATGAGATCCCAGATTTTCCAGTCGGCCTGCTCCCTTGAGAGCGCCCAAGGGGTCATGTGACACCCCTGCCCCAACAGTGCTACAGGTGGAGCCAGGCTCCTACCTTCCTTTCTTCATCAACAAAACCCTTTGCGACAAGACCACGAAGATCAAGCAGCAGGATTTCTGCCCATCCCCAGCTAAAGTAACTCTTACTCCTTTGCGCGCACGCACGCACACACACACACACCCCGGCTCTCCAAGCACAGCAGCTTCCATGTCTCTTCTGGGTGACCTCTTCCAGGGCTCACAGCCACAGGCCCTGCACACCAGCCAGTGCCGGCAGTGACCCAGACAGCAAGCTGGGCCTTTGGCTCTTAAGCCTCTGTGACAAGCTGGAGGGGTCTGCACACATAGAGCCTGGCTGCTCGGAAGGGTTATCAAGGCAAATCCTCACAGGAGGGTGATTCCACTTCCTGTATCACCTCTACACAATCCATCGGGCTCCTCTGCATCCCAGTTTGTCAAGGTCATCTAGAACTCTGAGCCTTTCTGTGCCTACCCAACGCTCCCTTTCTTTGCATCCCTATCAGGCCTCAGCTACTACCCATGGCACAGGGTCTCAAACAGTTCTTGCCAGCTTACCCTCATGCCCAGAGCACATCCTGGAAAACTTCCCACCCTTACCTTACTCTTTATAGGAAGACCTCCCTCACTACTTCCCACCACACTTTGAAAGACAGCAGTCTACCTCATCCTCCACCTCTGACCCACTCTGAAACCAGTCGCAGTAGGCTACAACTCAGTAGTCCTCCAAGGCTGCCAGAGATCACTCACGTCACCAGGCCCAGGGGCCTTTTCTCAGGCCTCATCCTCCTCCATCTGTCTCCAACACTGGACTGGTGACCACACCTGCTTCCCTCTACCAGCCTTTCTGTGTTCCCATCTCTGCCTCCGGCCTCTGGGGTCTCTTCACTGTCTCACACACTGCTTCTAGAAAACAACATTCCTGAAGATCTGATGACAGTGCTTTCCTGACCACACCCCAACTTGGTATTCAAGGCCCCCTGGATCTGCATACCCCCATCTACCTGCTACCCTCCTTCCCCAGGTTTCTTTCTCTCCCTCCAAGCGGTATTTAGTTTACAGGATGAAGTATATGGCTGTGGTTGGTAAAATTTTCTGTTTATCTCTTACTTGAAAAGAAGCAGATCCTTCACATTACAATGTCTTTATACACACACACACACCCAAAAACGATATCCTTAAACCTAGAGCCACAGTGAATTTTCTGTTCTATTAATGTTTCTGTGAGTCAATGGCTCTCTGTAGAAATAATAACCCCCCTAACCCTTAAAATAAACTCATGACATTTATGATACCAACCCACAGCAGAATACCCAGAACAAAATGGGGTACAGAGGCACAGCGTGCCCCACTAAGCCAGCATTAACTGAAAAGTACAGGCTCTATGCCAATGTGAGCAAGTGACCCTCGTCACACATCTTTTCCTGGGAACATCACACACCAGACACTCTTTCTGGATATTTATTTCCCAGTGGTTAGTCCTTCATACTGCACAGGACTTCAGGGAGATCAAATGTGGCTAAAGACACAAAGATGGTCTAAAAAGTATAAGAAGTGCCCTAGCCGGTTTGGCTCAGCGGTTAGAGTGGATGCCTGTAAACCAAAGAGTCACAGGTTCGTACCTCAGTTGTGGTTCGATCCCCGGCTCTGGTGGAGGTCTTTTAGGAGGCAGCCAATTAATGTGTTTCTCTCACATGGATGTTTCTCTTTCTCTCTCTCCCCCTCCCCCCTCATCTGAAGATAAATAAAAAAATGTCCTCAGGTGAAAATTAAAAAAAAAAAAAGTCCAAGAAGCTATTATACCTGAGGCACAAGTATTAAATGCATGATGACTTTACCTTTGTTGGGAGGGTATTTCGGCTTTTTCCCACCACCAACTAAAGCTAAATAGTTGCAGCGGAATAACATTTCAACATGGCCAACTCCTCCTTCCAGAAATTCTGAAATGATATTAAAAAGAAGTTAGCATGTATATTGTACAATTTAAATTAAAAAAAAGAAGAGGTGAAATGTAACAATTGACATTTTATTTTTAATCAACAATTTATAGCATCTAACTACCATCAGAAATGAGAATGAAGACTGACTAGGTAAAATAATTAGCTATGACCTTCAGACATCTCTTAGCATCCTGTCACCCATTAACTACTTTCACATATAAACACTGAGCACAAAACACCCTAAGAAGCCAATGTAGCAAAATGTATGACATATTTAAATTCATATTTTAAGGTTTAGCAAAATCTGTAAGCTGAGAAGAAGCTAAACACTTGAATGCAAAATATGAAGTTTTTAAAAACCATTTAAACACCCCTCCCACAAAAGTTTGAAATGCTCAAGAATGTCCACGAGTTATATGAAAATAAACGCCAGCAGACTTGCACGTCCTTCCAGACAGAAGGGACATGGTAAAGGTGAAGTGAGCTCCGATGAGAAGTGTGGGGCTCAGAGAAGCAAACCCCACCACTGTGTGGTTTATCACAGCAGGACCACTCCACCCTGTTCTCCACAACCTTACTCTGGTCTGAAATGACTGCAAGCTCCTGGGACAGTGAGGGCACAGAAAAGGGCAAGTGAGGAACCGAAACTTCTAAAAGTTAGAACTCAGCCTAAGAACCAGCCTCTACCTGTTCAGTCATAGCTGCACAAGATGATTCCATTTTCATCAGGTGCTAGAGAAAGCATAGGCAAAATCTTCATGACGCTGAACATGGCAATGACTTTCTTTTTAATCTTATCTTTATTGTTGAATGTAGTGATACTTCGGTTCTCGAACATAATTCGTTCCAGGAGGACGGTCGAGAACCAAATTGTTCGAGAACCGAAGCAATGAAAACCAATAGGAAATAATGGAAACTGGATTAATTCGTTCCAAGCCCCAGAAAATGCCTATTTACTGGCCTAATTTGTATATAATATGTAGAAAAACATAAGTCTCAACAAGAAATAAAAGTGTACAGTACGTCTAAGAGCTAAATTCAGTGTAAAGCGTGACTCTCTCCACAAAGCGTGACTCTCTCTCTGCACTCACACTGATGACGCAAGCAAGGCGCGCTGGGCCGAATGAACGCCATTCGGCTCAACTCGGCTCATCTCGGAAGTTCGAGTTCCAAATATTTGTTCGGATTCCAAGACAAAAGTTTCTCGAATCTCCTGGTCGAATACCGATTTGGTCGAATACCGATTTGGTCGAAAGTCAAGGCGTTCGAGAACCGAGGTATCACTGTATTACAGATGTCTCTCCTTTTTTCCCCCCTTGACCTCCTCCTCCCGACTCCCGTTCCCCTCCTGCCTTCTCCACACTACTGTCTGTGTCTATTGGTTATGCATATATGCACAAGTTCTTTGGTTTATCTCTTCCCGCTTCACCTCCCCCTTCCCTTTGAGGTTCCTCAGTCTAACAACCAATTTGTACTTAACCCCTTCACCTTTTTCACCCATCCCCTCTTCCATCTGGCAACCAACAAAAAGATCTCTGTATCTAGAAGTGCTTTTCTGTTCTGCTTGCTCATTTTGTTTGTAGATTCAATTGTTGATATATATGTATTTATTGTCATTTTATTGTTCATATTTTTGTTCTTCTTCAAGAAGACCCATCAACATTTCATATAATATTGGTTAGGTGGTGAACTCCTTTAGCTTTTTCTTGTCTGGGAAACTCTCTCTGTCCATCGATTCTAAATGATAGCTTTGAGGATAATCTTAGTTGTAGGTCCTTGCTTTTCATCACTTTAAATATTTCTTACCACTCCCCTCCGGCCTGCAAAGTTTCTTTTGAGAAACTGACTGACAGTCTTATGGGAGCTCCATTGTAGATAACTGCTTTTCTCTTGCTGCTTTTACAATTCTGTCTTTTTAACCCTTGGCATTTTGATGATGATGTATGTTATGTGTCTTGGTATGGATTTCTTTGGGTTCATCTTGTTTGGGACTCTCTGTGCTTCCTGAACTTATATGTCTGTTTCCTTCACCCAGTTAGGGAAGTTTTCTGTTATTATTTCTTCAAATAGGTTTTCAATTTCTTGCTCTCTCTCTTCTCCTTCTGGTACACCCATAAAGTGAATGTTGGTACACTTGACATTGTCCCACAGGCTCCTTATACTATCCTCATGTTTTTGGATTCTTTTTTCTTTTTGCTGTTCTGATTGGGTGTTTTTTGCTTCCTTATATTCCAAATCGATGGTTTGTTTCTTGGCTTCACTACTCTACTATCAGTTCCCTGTAAATTATTCTTTATTTCAGTTAGTGCATCCTTCATTTCTGATTGGTCTTTTATTATGCTCTTGAGGTCCTCACTAAGTTCCCTGACGTTCTCATGAAGTTCCCTGAAATTATCACTAAGTTCATAGAGTGTTCTTATAAGCAGTGTTTTGAACTCTGCATCTGTGAGATTGCTTATCTCCATTTAATTTAGTTCTTTTCCTGGAGTTTGGTTCTGTTCTTTCATTTGGGACATGTTTATTTGTCTCCACATTTTGGCTGCCTCCCTGTGTTTGTGTCTATGTATTAGGTAGAGTTAGTGTGTCTCCTAGGCTTCCTACGGCAGCCTGTGGTAGTAGGTATCCTGTAGAGACCAGTGGCACAGCCTCCCTGATCACCCAGCTGGGCCGTCGAGGTGCACCCCTTGTATGGACTGTTCGCCCTTCTGTTGTAATTGAGTCTTGACTGCTGGTGGCATGTCAAAAGGAGGGTTTTACCGAGGCTGATCAGCTGCAAGGGCTGGCTGTGCCCACTAACCACTGAATACCTTGTGCCCACGCTGTGCAGGGGCCCACCACACAGAGCAAGACTTACTTCAGCAGGGATCTGGTACCCACTGAATCCACTCACTGAGTGTATCACTTGTGGACGTTGGGTGGTGGTGCTTCGACGTGGTCTAAAGCTGTCCACTGGGAGTGCTGGCTCTGGGACAAGGCCAGCCACTGTCTGTGTTCTATCTGGGGCCACCAGGCATAAGCTACAAAGAGATCTGCCGATGGCTGCTTCTTGTGTTGGGCTTGGAGGTGCCCAGGCAAAGCCAAGCTGTGAACCAAGACTGGTGCCGGGCCTGAGGCCACTTAGCGAGAGGTATGGGGCTTACTGAAACCAGATGTCGCTTGTTAATGAGAAATCTGAAGTAGGATCCAAGACACGTCAATCCTATGGTAAAGCCACTGGAACCAGCTTGCGTGGGCCCAACTTGGGTGGGGCAGGGCCTCAGGAAATCATCAGGGTGGGGCAAACACTGTGAGCCAGGTGGCTGGAGTCCCAGATGTGGTGCCCATCTGTGGGCCCCATGGGGGAAGGGTTCACCAAAGGAACAACAGTCTCTGCCAGCACATGTCCGGGAGAAAGATGACTCTCCAGCCCTCACCCCAAAGCCAAACAACTCAGTTCTTCCTCATACTTCTCTGGTGCCTTTCAAGCTGCCTTCCCTCCATGCTGAAGCTCAGAGGGAGTGGGTTTTGAGTAAGTCCATGCATGAGCCTTTAAGAGGAACTGCCTGGGACTCCAGCAGCCTCAGTTCCTGCTGGTTTTTACAGCCAGAAATTATGGGGACTTTTCTTCTGGCACTGGAACCCTGAGCTGGGCACCTGGTGTGGGACGGGGACCCAGACTCCTCAGGGAGGACCTTCACAGCTGAGCATCCCTCCTGATTTTTATCCGCCACACGTGGGAGTGGGATGAGCCCTTCCTGCCAGTCTGGATGTGGCTTCTTCTTTAATTTTACGGTTGTAAGACTTCCATTCAGCTCGATTTAAGGCAGTTCTGAAGATGTTTGTTCTGTAGTTTGGTTGTGATTTTGATGTGATTGTAGGAGGCGGCGAGTACTGCATTTACCTACGCTGTCATCTTGACCGAAGTCCGGCAATGATTTCTTGGATATGACATCAAAAGCACAGGCAACAGCCCTGGCCAGTTTGGCTCAGCGATTAGAGTGTTGGCCTACAGTCCGGAAAGACCCGGTTCAGTTCCCACTAAGGGCGTGTACCTCGGTTGCAGTTTGTTCCTGGCCCTGGTTGGGTCGTGCGGGTAGCATCCGTTCGATGTGTCCCTTTCATATTGATGTTTCTCTCTCGCTCCCCCCCCCCCAAATCTATCTGAATAAAAAATGGAAAAATGTCCTCGGGTGAGGATTAAAAAAAAAAAAAAGCACAGGCAGCAAAAACAAAAACAGACAATGGGAGCACACTAAACCTAAAAATTGTCATGCATAAAAAGACAAAATCAACAGAGTGAAAAGGCACCCTATAGAATAGAAGAAAATAATATTTGCAAATCATATACCTGATGAATATCCAAAATATATAAAGAACTCCTACAACTCCAACAATAACAACAAAAAATCAAATAACCCAATTTAAAAATGGGCAAAGGACTTGCGTAGACATTTCTCCAAATATGAGGGATATATCCAACACACATATGAAAATATGTGTTGAACACATAATGTTCAATATCACTAAAATTAGAGAAATGCAAGTCAAACCACAAAGAGATACCTGTCACCTCAACCCTTAAAGTGGCCAAGTGTATAGCAGAAAATAGGCAAGGATGTGGAGAAACAGGAACACTACATACTGCTGGTACAACCGCTATTGAAAACAGGATGGTGCGTATTTAAAAACAGAAGCACCACATAAATCCAGCAATCCCTCTTCTTAGCACAGTATATACTCAACAGAACTGAAAGGAAGGTCGCGAAGAGGTATTTTCACACCTATGTTTATAGCAGCATTACTCACAATAGCCAAGAGATAAAAGCAATCCAAACATCTACACAGAGAAAAATAAAATGTGGTCTATCCATATCATATTATATTATAATGGAATATTATGAAGCCTTAAAAAGGATGAAAATTCTGGCACATGGTACAATATAGATGAACTTGAGGACATTATGCTCAGTAATCAGCCAATCAAAAAAGGTCAAATACTGTCTGCTTCTCCACACTCTCACTTAAGCTACTCACTAACTTAGGGACGCTCCCAGCAATCAGCTTGCTCACTTCCATCTCACATGCTTCTCATTTCTCTCTAATCCCTTCACCCAACATGCATGAAGCCCACACAATTTTCTAAAAAATTAGCTGTAACGAATTATGGGCCATGGCTAAGCCCCACAACACACGGTCAGGTCAGTCAGGTTGTTGGACTGGCTAGCATCAGGAATAATGTACATATAAGTCACCTTTTCTTTCCAGATACTTGGTGCATCTCAACAAGCACTCTGTCCACGTTATTCATCAATGTATCCCCAGCCCCTAGTGCTGCACTCACTGCCAGAATATACCTGACCATTACCCACACGGCTCACCTGCTACTCCACCTCAATCACATGACATTCCCTTTAGGTCTCTGTGTCCCCTCTACCTCCCAACACGGTGCTGCCAATGTCACATCGGTGAGCGCTGGTCACATGAAGGGGAACATGAGTAGCACTGAAGACAAGGAAACACTCTGTATCTCTACTACCTTTCAGACTGTGAAAGCTTACTGAGTTCTAGTCACCTTTGTAATATAGGAGACTTGTTTCCAAATGAGGGTGGAGTTGATGTTTATGTGTCCTCTTAATAGTTCTATAACCACTGGGTTTTACTATTTTATCCAATGTATCATTCTTGACACATCTTAATTTGTTCAAATTGTAACTGTTGAACATTCTTTCTCGTGTAAGTTCATATGTGTGTGTGACATCTGAATCTGAGTCTACACTTTGACCTCACAGAATCACTATGAGAACGCCAGACAGGCTGCTGGAGGGAACAGTGCTACTCTGACGGGTGAGCGAACCCATTCCAGGTATGACCTACAGCATCTTAGAGGGAGATGGAAGAAAGCTGCCTCCAGCTCCTGGTCCCTGCCACAGTGGGCAGGCCAGGAAGAGGCACTCTGCTCACGGCTCATCAGTCTCCCTCCTCAGTGTCAGTCACACTGCAGAGAAGGCTGAGAGCCGGATCCAGGACCGACCACTGTGATGCAGGCGCACTTCCTTCCTTCTCATTTAAGAACAAACCTCCAAGATAACAAAAGAACAAGCCCAAGTCTTCTGCCAGTTTTCCACTGTTGAGTTAAGTCACCAGAAATGTCACAGCAGACTAACCTACAAGTGCATATAGGTAAATCTGCACCTGATAAAATGCATCATCAAAAAGCATGGCACCACTCTGGCCAGCGTGGATCAGTGGTTAGAGTGTTGGCTTGAACACGAAGAGTAGCAGGTTTGATTCCCCGTTAAGGGCACATACCTGGGTTGCAGATTCGATTTACGTGTGGGAGGCAACCAATCAACGTGTCTCTCTCTCATCAATGTTTCTCTCCCTCCCACTCTATCTAAAAATCAATGGGAAAAAATATCCTCGGGTGAGGATTAACAAAAAAAAAAAGGAAAAAGCATGGCAGCAAATCCACAAGCTGAGCTCAGAGACAGTGAGCTTAGTGCTGACAGCGACACACACATACACACACACACACACACACATCGAGAGCTGCAACCCTTCCCGAAACTCAGGAGTTTTAGTGCTTCTTCTCTAACATACTTGTATAAGAATCCTAAATTTATTCCAAACATCTCTTTAACTAGGAAGCAACTGTTAATATGCTGCTAGTAATCGACTCTTTAACTTCTAAGTTTCTGGGTCAATTTAAGTAAAACGAATCCTGAAATTTGCAAGTCAAGCTGTTTCAAAATATTTTGTAACTATCTGTATATAGCAGAGTTGTCTTGCCCAGCTGGTGTGGCTCACTGGTTGAGTGTGGACTGATACACCAAGAGGTCACTGGTTTGATTCCCGGTCAGGGCACATGCCCAGGTTGTGGACTAAATTCTCAGTGGGGGACATGTAGGAGGTAGCCAATCGATATTTTCTCTCATCGATGTTTCCCCCTCTCTCCCTTCCTCTCTCTAAAATTAATAAAGGGGGAGAAAAAAAGGGAGAGTTGTCTTAATTCACTATGTAACCAAAAAAAATGAACAGAAGTCAGATGTGTGGGCGACTAATGGGAGTATCCCGCCATCAGAGCAATAGGGCTCCTGCTGCAGACTGTGAGGGCACACGCTTGCACAGGGCTTCACATGCGACTGGCACTCATCTATGCTTCACCTATTCTGCTTCACTCATCTCTACAATAACCTTAGGAAGCAGGAAGTTATCCTTATTTTACACATAAAGAAATCGAGGCCAAGAGAAGGTGAAAAACTTGCCCAAGGTCACACAGCAACCCCATAAGGGTCAGAGCCAAGATTTCGGATCTAAACAATGTGGGTGGTGTAGAGTCTGGGCCTTCACTGCCAGGCTATACTGTCTTCCTCTAATAAATGAAAGTTACACACCTAAGCATACAAAATAAACTCCTACATGTAAAGCACCACTTATTGGGTTATATACCAGGGTTGTACAGAAGAGCTTGGTTTGACAAAGGGGTTCCACTATCAAAAGAAAAACCACACAAAAAAACCCCTGAAAATCCTTGATGTAGAGTATTACTTGTTAAAATGGAAGGGGGCTGTTTAGTGGAACAGCAGGATGCAGTAACTTCCTCTTACAGATGAGAAATTTCTAGCATCAAAAAATGTAACTTGGCCCTGGCCAGTTTGGCTCAGCGGTTAGAGCGTCGGCCTGCGGTACAGAGAGACCCGGGTTCGGTTCCCGCTAAGGGCATGTACCTCGGGTTTGTCCCCGGCCCTGGTTGGTCGTGCGGGTGGCAACCACTCGATGTGTCCCTTCACATCGATGTTTCTCTCTCTCTCTCTTCCTCTCTCTCTCCCTCCCGCTCTGTCTGAACAAAAAAATGCAAAAATGTCCTCGGGTGAGGATAAAAAAAAAAAAAATGTAACTTGTACACTGAATAAAAACCAAAACTATAACTGCAGGAAGAAAAAGGATGTTTCTCATGTTCTATGATTTATCTGAGATTTGTTCATCCATTGGCAGTGCTTGATTCTCCCAGCAGGACCAGGAAACACTAAGAGCTTAAGAAAAATATGTAGGAGAAAAAAAACAAATTGAAAAAGTTCCATCAGTAAATTTAACATTTTTTTCCTGTCAAATGGGAAAAGGACCACCATTATTTTATTTCACCAACAGAATTTCTGATCCCAGCTTGTATTCCAAGAAAACATAGTTTTACTGCTACAAATATTTCTAAGTGTTGGTCACTCACTAAGAGTTAAGAGTCCCACCTGCTGTAATTAAACCATCACTTGAGTTCTTTACAATTCTACATTCAACAGAAGACTGAAAATGGTCTCGATCACAAACGCAGACGCTTCAAAGTTGACAATTCACTGGAGAAATCAGTTGGGTCATTGCCTGCTGAATCACTACTGTATCCTGGCACTTAGCAGAGCCAGGCGCCGTAGAAGCTCAGAGAAAGAAAGAGCACAGCTCCATCCAAGTTGACGGAGTAACATGACTCTAAACCCTACTTACTTCTTAAAACCAGCTGTCCCCCTGCTTCCACCTGCGAGATAAAATTTAGGCTATGAGGTCCGGCTGGTGTGGCTCAGTGATTGAGCATCAACCCATGCACCAAGAGGTCACTGATTCGATTCCCAGTCAGAAAACATGCCCAGGTTGTGGGCCAGATCTCCAGTGGGGAGCATGCAGGAGGTGGTCGATTGATGTTCTCTCTCATCGATGTTTCTCTCTCTCTCCCTCTCTCTCTAAAATCAATAAAGGGGGGAAAAATTTAGGCTGTGAGGTTTGGAAAAGGAGATAAACCATGAAATGTCAGTTACTCCTTACCTTGTTTCTCTTTTTCTTTTAGTGGATCGGTGTTATAGACTCGGAATCCATTTTCCATCCCACATGCAAAGCATCCTAAATCGAGAAAGACACACTGATCAGTTACTGGGGTCTCAGCTCAGGACCCCAGGCCTGGAGTGGCCTCTGCCAAGAATACCTGCAGATGCACAGACCACACAGACATGGTCAGCACATGCCATAACCACTCTCCTAGTGGGCAGTTACTAAACAATGTGCACATCCAAGCACACAGTTTCGGTTTGTCATTTCACATGTAAGGGAGGCTTTGGAGTCACTCACTCCAACTTCCCACTGCAGGACCCTTCTGTGGTATTCCCATGGGCCAGGCTCGGCTTGAAACATGAAACACTTCATTCACTGTCTACCTGCATGAGCCACTGTGCATTTACGTCAACACCTGCCTTGAATATTCACCACTGGCCTCATCATGTCAAATACATCTCTTGAGCACTGTGCCAGGTACCAAGTCATAAAGAGGAAATGACAAACAAGTAAGTGCATGTCTCTGGGATGAGAATCCCAGCAGGTATGGACAGACCAGGCTGAAAAGGGGGAGATAAATGGTACCATTAGGAACTGAAGAAGCACCCATTTCAAGATGACAATGGGACCCAAGATCAAACCGATCTCCTTAAATGCCACCACATCCCACTACTGGTTCATACGAAGCCTGTGACTGGAAGAACAAACTCTCCAGTTCTCCCTTGCAAGGTCTGCCTCGAAGCCCTCAGCACCTGAGCAGCAGGTCTGAGCGCCAACGCTGAGGCCTCCAGTGCTCCTCTGCTAGCTCCCTGCTTTGGAACCAAGTCATTCTACTTTGGCAGCCACCCTTCCCAAAGTGGGAAGCATGCTTCTATTTTTTTGTCCAAGTTACTTACAAAACCACAAAACATGAGATTCAAGGACTACGACAGCTACCCCAGCGAGCTGGAAACTATGTTGTGCAATCAACACTATGGCTCTGAAATGCATCTTGTCAGAGCCTGGAATCTGAGACTCACTCAAAAGTGCCATGTTATTTATCTCTTAACTTATTCTGAGTTGTAACTCCCTCTTTGTTCTACTGAAATCATGTAATCTGGACAGAGATATCAGAACTTTGATTCCTGGAAAATATGGAAATACAGGAGTCAACTCTTTTCCCATTCTCACTCAACTATTACAACTTCCCCAGGTTTTAAGCCTGCATCTATCTTATGTGTCTTCACCAGAACACACAGACTTCTTTTTTTTTTTTAAATCCCCACCCAAGGATATTTTTCCATTTTTCTTCAGACAGAGTGGGAGGGAGGGAGAGAGAGGGAGAGAAACATCGAGGTGAGAGAGACACATCGACTGGTTGCCTCCCACACGACCCCAACCAGGGCCAGGGAAGAACCGCAACCGAGGCACACACCCCTGATCGGAATTGAACTCGCAACTCATTGGTCCACAGGCTGACGTTCCAACCTCTGAGCCAAATCGGCCATGGCGAACACATACATTTCTTATAAGACTTGTATAGCCCTGGCCGGTTTGGCTCAGCGGTTAGAGCGCCGGCCTGCGGTCCAGAGAGACCTGGGTTCGGTTCCCGTTAAGGGCATGTACCTCGGTTGCAGTTTGTCCCCGGCCCTGGTTGGGTCGTGTGGGAGGCAACCTCTCGATGTGTCCCTTTCACGTCGATGTTTCTGTCTCTCTCTCTCTCCCTCCCACTCTATCTGAACAAAAAACGAAAAAAAAAAAATGTCCTTAGGTGAGGATAAAAAAAAAAAAGAGTCCGAAATAAAAATAAAATACAGAGAGAGGCAAAACTGTTCTATGTCAACAGAAGTCAGAGTGACAGGAAGGAACACAGGCAGCTGGGTGAATGCTGCCGAAGGTGAATTCAGTTTGGAGAATTTATCCAGCTGAACACTTAGGATATCTGCACTTCTCTGTAAGTGTAGTATACTTTGACAAAAAAGTGAAAAGGAGAGGTACTACAAATACCAAAATGTTGGAAACCACTTTGTAAGGAGGCTGGTATCATCCTTACTATCTTTTTTTTTTTTTTAATTATTAACTGATTTAACTTCGTTATTATATGAAACATGGCATTAACCTTCGCATGGTTACTATCTTATTTTTCCAGAGAATCCTCACCCCTGGGCAGCTGGCAGTGCTGGAAGCCCAAGAGGGCCTGGTAATCACACAGGGGCATGCTCCTATACATGGACCACATGCACTACTCCCCACACACAGGAGAACTACAGTGAAGCGGGCTCAGCAGGCAGTGTGTGGCCTCAGGGGTTCTCCAGGCAGGGCAGGACAGCCTCCAGAGAAGGTGTACACAGCCAAACACTTGTGCTCCCCATGGCGCAATAAGAAATGCAGGTAGCCGGACAGTAGAAATGGACATATCAACACTTAGTCTTCAACTACAGTGCAAATTATCTTTAGAAAAAGACAAGTCAAAAGTTTGAATAATTTAAAATTATGAGCAAACGTCCTTTAAAACATTATTTCCAAGCCTAAAATTATAATGAGAGAGTTAAAAACACTTAGTGTAAAAATTAAAAATAAAAATTAAGGCCCTGGCCGGTTTGGCTCAGCAGTTGGAGCATCGATCCACAGACCAAAGAGTCGTGGGTTCAATTCTGGTCAAATGCAATTCTCGGTTTCGGTTTGGTCCCCAACCCTGCTCAGGGTCATGCAGAAGGCAACTAATTGATGTGTCTCTCTCACATTGATGTTTCTCTCTCTTTCTCTCCCTCCTACTCTATCTGAAGATAAACAGAAGAATATCCTCGAGTGAGGATTAATAAAAAAAAAGAAAAGAGAAGAGAAGAGAAATTAGCCCTGGACAGTTTGGCTCAGAGGTTGGAGCATTGGCCCAAGAACCTAAGGGTCTTAGGTTCAATTCCTGGTCAAGGGCACATACCTGGGTTGCAGGTTCAATCCCTTGGCCCTGGTCAGGATATCCACTGGAAGCAACCAACCAATGTGTCTTTCTCACATCAATGTCTCTCTCTCTCTCTCTCCTCTCCCTCCCTCCCTTCCACTCTCTAAAAATCAATGGGAAAATATCCTCAGGTGAAATTAAAAAGAAAAGAAAAGAAAAAAAAATCAGCCTTGGCCAGTGTGGCTCAGTTGGTTAGGCACTGTCCCATGCACCAAGAGATTGCTGGTTCAATTCCCAGTCAGGGCACATGCCCAGGTTTCGGGCTGGATCTCGGGGGGGGGGGGGGGGGGCAGGCAGGAGGCAGCCCACCCATTTTTTGTTCTTATATGGATATCTCTCTCTCTCTCTCCCCCCTGCCTTTCTTCTCTCTCTAAAACATAAGTAAATTTAAAAACAAAATAAAACCCAAAGCTATACACACACACACATATTTTTTTAATCCTCACCCCAGGATACTCTTACATTTATCTTCAGAGTGGGAGCGAGAGAGGGAGGAGGGGGAGAGAGAGAGAACCATTGATGTGAGACACATCGATTGGTTGCCGCCCACACAACCCCAACCGGGACCTGGGACGAACCACAACTAAGGTACATGCCCTTTACCAGAATCGAACTTGGGACTCTTTGGTCCGCAGGTTGATGCTCTAACCACTGAGTCAAACCGGCCAGGGCAAAGCTATATTTTTTAAATTAACTTTTGTTGTTAATCCTCACCCAAGGATCTTTTTCCATTGATTTTTAGAGTGAAAGGGAGGGAGGAAGAGAGAGAGAAACATCGATGGATTGGTTGCCTCCCACACAATGGTGACTCGGGTGGAGGATCAAATTTACAATCCAGGTTATGTGTCCTTGACCAGAACTGAACTTGAGAACCTTAGGTCCAAGGGCCCTCACTCCAACCGCTGAGCCAAACTGTCCAGGACTAGCCAAACTATATTTTAAAAATAGTCTTTAAGGAAGTCTTTATAAAAATATTATAAACTTCACTGGTTTCTTAATTAGCATCTTTTGAGCACCATCCTTACACTGAAACTTAATACAAAGATTCCTCCTTTGACATTAAGGCAGGTAAGTACATAAAGATAGTTTTCTTGCATTAAATGGCTTCCAGCCACTAAGCTTTTTGCTTTTGAGAATTTATTATAGTTATCTTTCCCTTCCCTTAATATCAGCCAGACATTTTTCACTGAAAGCATATTTCTTAAGGAGTTGTTCATACACTGTTAGTTTCTTGAAGAGTTCTCAATTATTATTAAAACTATTACGTACTCTCCTTCCTCTGGAATCTAAACCCAAAATGTTCAGCCAACAAATCATTGCCCAAAGTCCAATATCTGGCCCCAAACACCTTTGCACCTCACGATCATATTCCTTCATAATCCCTGACCTCAGGCCAAACCCAAACCACCTGTGGTCATTCGTTTAGCCCAAGGCGCCCACACCCTTTCCAGCCTTTCCACCTTCAGTCTAACTGCCTCCTCCACAACTGAGGAAAACGTCCGACCCCACCTCACAGCCTGCATGCCTCCCACCTCTCACCTGGGCTTTTCTCAGGCATATTGTAGCTCTCCTTTGACACGCAAAGCCTGTGGACAGGTCCACCACAGCACAAGCACAAAGCGAGCAGGCCAATGAGCTAGGCAAGCACTGCATGTCTATTCCAAGTTATCTTTACAAACACTGGATCCTGTAGCACATGCTCTGACTCTCTCCAAAAGCAAAACTTCTGAAGCCCACATAGAAAAAGCTTTTAGCAGCCTGTCCCTGAACAACAGCTGGTACTTCTTTTCTTCCCAATGGGGAGACCTTGTAAGTCTGCAGTGGAGAAGTAGCTCCGCACCCCAGTTCCTCCTGCAGGCCTTTCAGGTTGTGACACTTTCTGATTGAAACCAACAAAAATACCACCCAACTAGGCCTGAGAGAATCTCGTCAATAAAAAGTGTAAGGGCCCTGGCCGGTTTGGCCCAAGGACCACCGAGACCCTGGTTCAGTTCCCACTAGGGGCTAAGGGCACGCACCTCCTTGCGGTTTGCCCCCGCCCGGTTGGGGTCCTGTGGGTGGCAACCAGTTGATGTTTCTCTCTCCCTCTCTCCCTCCTGCTCTATCTGAAGATAATTGCAAAAATGTCCGCGGTGAGGGTAAAAAAAAAAGTGTAATTAGGGGCCCTGGCCGGATGCCTCAGTGGGTTCCAGTGTGTGGTCCCAGTACGTCGAAGTTGCGGGTTTGATCCCCGGCAGGGGACCTGTACGAATCATCCAATGAATGCATAAGGGGAACAACAACAATCAGTGTTTCTCTCGCAAAAACAAAACGCATTAAGAAAGGGTGTAAGTAGGGAACACATCTTGGAGAGGCCAGGAGCGACGGCTGCAGGGGTGTCCCCTCCAGAGCGCAGACCTCGTCGGCGCTCGGTAATCCCGTCCCCACCTTGCTTTCCCCAGCTTCCTCCGGTCCCCTCCTTCAAGTGCAGACAAGAAGCTGCAAAACTGTTATTCTCGGGAAAATCTGAGATCTTACTCCACGGCACATGTCGTCAGCTTGGCTGGAACAAACTCATAAAAATTCAAGAAAAAAAAAGTGCAACTAGGCAGCTGGAAAGAAAGTGCAGCATTTTCCAGCTAACTCCCCGCTTATTTGCCAAAGATCCTCAGGCGCCCGGGGAAACGCGAGCCGCGAGGAAGACCCGCAGACAGAGGCCGCCGGTCCCACCGCGGGAGGCCGCGGGCGGGGAGGGGTCCGAGGGTTCGCGCGGCCCCGGGGCTCCGGGCTGCTGGCCGCCGGCGGGAGCGCTGCACTGGGGGCGCGGCCGGGAGGGGGCCGGACGGGGAGCAGCCGCCGCCCCGAGAGCAGCCAAAGGCCCAGACCAGAGACACCCGCAGCCGGCTCGAGGGGGAGCGGCGGCGGGATGGCGGGGCGTGGGGCGTGGGGCCTGGGGAGCTGGCCGTGTGGGGGCTCCGGGGGCAGAGGCTGGGGTGTGTGGGGCTCCGGGAATGTGGGGGGCTGTGGGGGACGGACGTCGGGGAGTGTGGGGGCTCCGGGGGGCGGACGTCGAGGCGTGGGGGGCTCCGGGGGGCGGAGGCCCGGGAGTGTGAGGGCCCCGGGGGAGGGGCCGGCCGCGAAGGGGCGCCCTCACCGTGGTCCTGGTTGAAACCGGCGTAGAGCAGTCCGTTGCCGTGGGGGTTACAGGGCAGGAGGTTCATGGCGCCGCCGCGGAGGGTCCGCCGCTCGTCAGCGCCGCATACCGCTCGGGGAGGCCGGGCGCTGGGTGCCGTCAGGCCGCCTCCGAGGCCGCCGCGGCTGGACGCGAACGGCGGACGTGCTGCGTGCGCGCATGCGTGCGTGTGTGCGCGCGCCCGCCCGGGGGCTGCGGAGCGTCGATTGCATCCACCCAGGCCGGCCAGGGCGGGCAGGGAGCGCCGAGAGCGTCACGTGCGTGGGGCGGGGCCACGGCCAGGGGCGTGTCCGGGGCGGGGTCTGGGCGGAGGGGTGGGGCCTTGCCTGATTCGGGTGGGCAACCACCTGCCAGGTGCCAGCAGATCCCCGAGGGCAGCCGACCCCCGGAAGGGAGGGAAGGGAGGAGGTTTCGAAGCGGCAGCAGCCAGTGCCCCTCGCTCTCCGGAGCAGGCAGGGCCCAGACTCCCCCAGAAATCACACCCACACTGGTAACCCCGTCATCCGAGGAAAGGAAACAGGAGATGCGGGGTCCTTAGGAGTAGGGAGGCCCATTCCACTTCTAGGGGGGCCCACGAGGGTTTGAGCCGGGTTGTTGGTCCAAGCATTACATATTTCCATATTCAAACCCTGATTTCATTTTGTAAGAGAAAATACACCGTCTACTGTTTTAACAATTCAGATCACAGAAAGGAACGCTCCACAGAACCCTATCTGACAACTCCGAGGGTCCGTGTGAGCCTGGAGTCTCCCCTGGGGTCAGGGGTGCTCCATGAGATGTCTGTGTCTATTACAGGGTTATTTAAGAGTTAAACAAAAAGAGGATGAGAGATACATACTGTGTGCAAGGACAGGAGAGTGTAGTCCCCAGCAGAGAAGCCAGCATGCTCCACCCACACAGCAAAGTCTCCAAGCACTTCGCACAGCCCTCCCAGGTCCTTTCCAGCACCCTCCTATAGAGATGCCACCCCCCCCCCCACCCACACACACACACCGGTTTCTTGAAGATGGGAGGCCTCCCTCACTGCAGTGAGTTAGCTGTTCCTGGTGGTCTCTGCTCTCTTAGCTAGGAGGGGTGAAGGCTGGAGCAACAGCAACTGTTTTGGGGCAGAGTGGACTTTGGAGCTCTTCCTTTTTGCCTCCACCTTCCTATCCATGAGGCCTCCAAGCCCAGGCAGGCTTGCCCATTATCGTAGAAAGTGGAGTGAAAGCAGCAGTATCCTGCTCTTGAGTTCTGCACTGAGGCAGGGAAGGGACAGTAGTATTAAAAGCCAAAACTCTGCCCTGGCCGGTTTGGCTCAGCGGTTAGAGTGTCGGCCTGCGGTCCGGAGAGACCCGGGTTCGGTTTCCGCTAAGAGCACGTACTTCGGTTGCAGTTTGTCCCCGGCCCTGGTTGGTCGTGCGGTGGCAGCCACTCGATGTGTCCCTTTCACATCGATGTTTCTCTCTCTCTATCTCTTCCTCTCTCTCCCTCCCACTCTATCTGTACAAAAAATGGAAAAAAAAAAATGTCCTCGGGTGAGGATTAAAAAAAAAAAAAAAGCCAAAACTCTGATCAGTCTTTTTTGAGAAGATAGGTGTATGAGAGTCCAAAGATCTAAAGAAAGAGGGCATAGACCATCAAAGCAGGAACAACTGGAGCCAGACCCCCACCAGAAATTATTAGGCTGGTGGGAAGGAGGGTCAGAAGTGAGGAGGGAGACAGGGCCAGCCCAGGACACAGCTTGGCCTCTGCTGCAGGGAGCACCTGACATAGGGACACCTGTCTGCTGCCAGAAGGACCCACCTGCCCACTGCACCACAGAGCAGAGCATCCTGCAGAACAGCTGTAGCCTTCTGAGACTGCTCCGCCTGTTTGGCCAATACCCTTCAATAGATCAGCATCCTGAGAGCAAGGAAGGCCCCATGAACATGCACATCATGGGAAGTGAACAGAATGACCCAGGGTCCTGCCCCTGCTCACCCCCCACCGTCTTTGCCTGGAAGGGGACACCTCTTCCCAGTTTCCCCAACACATGCAGCTTCAGTTTCTTCTCACATTCACTTTGAGAAAGCCGTTCTCCAACAAATGGAAACATCTCTATCTCCGTCTTTTTGGCAAAACAAATATTATCAAGCCTGTAATTGACATTTTTTTCCAGATTCAATATTTGCCTAGATGATTCCTCAATGCCGTCAGCTCTCAGTCTAGGAAATTATTCTGCATTGCAGTAATTTTCGTGGGACGATTGAAGACATAATTGTACATAACGTATTTTGAATCTCAACACTTGAAAAGAGAATCACAAACATCTGGGGTATAATTTGGCGCTCGTGTTTATAGTTTGGGTGGGTTTTGCCAGCAGCAAGGGCCATGGAAGAAAATGACAAATGACAAGGTTGGAAAGCAGTTTGCTTTAGGGTTCAGTTTACATTTCAATTATATTTTCTGCACATTCACCACCAAAACATGCATACTTCTATTTAGTACATTCCGTGTTAGGGTTTATTGTTTTTATTTCACACAAACGCCACTTTGACTTGCTGAGGCACTTTCTCCTGTGAAGTGGAACCTATTTCTTTGTTGTATGAGGGTCCTCAGCTGCCATAACAAATTGCCACACAACAGAACTATGTCCTCTCACAACTCCAGAGGCCTGTGTTCGAAATCCAGGTGTGGGTAGGGCCTGGCTCCTTGCAGAGGTGTGGGAAGCAGGTAGGGGTCCCTCCTGCCTCTTTTAGCTTCTGTTGGCCCCAGGTGGCCTTGTCTGTGGAGAGCTGAGTCCCCTGGGCAGCCTGTGTGTTCCAAGACAGCTCCTGACACAGAGGCCAGAGGAAATTTATTACCATCCTTCTACGACATGAGTGGTCATCCTGAGGAGTCCTTCCATTAAAAAACAAAAAGGAATGGAAAGGGGGAAAGAACCCTGTTTGGCTGGGTTTAACCTTGCGGCCAGGGGACCTATTCCCAGTAACTGCCACCATCTGCAAGCCCCACATCTTCCCTCCCCTTTGGGGTCTTGAGAAGTGCATTCTTCAAAGGGGAGAAGACGTGCTGGGTGGTTTTCATTTCACCGGGACCTCTCCTTATCTCTCCTGGTTACAAACATGGGAAAGAGATGCCCCACCTTGACTGTCCCAGCGTTCATGGTCAGCAGGTCAGCCCTTCCCTGTCTCCATCCACTGCCCAGCAGAGAAGGGGGCTATGGCCCCAGCAGGATGTCCTCACAGGCCAGCAGCTCACTGAGAGGCACTCTCCCCTCAGGATTTACCTGCTGTCCACTTGCCCACTCTCCTGTGGACATTTGTGCTCATCATGTCTGGCTTCAGATCTTCAATGACCATCAGTGGCTGTGTTTATTTTCACTCTCTGGGCCTTGGATCCACTATCTCTGGATAAAGGTGTGTTGCTCCCAATTCTAGGGTCCCTTACATTTCTAAAAATCTGTAAGCCATTTACAGAAACTGAGAACATCTAGGCATTTTCTCAACTCAAGTTATTTTTTAAATCCTTCCATCTAACCTCCAGCTGCCACAGAGAGACAGCAAACAGGTACAACCAGGAATGCGGGACCCTCCCTGGTTTGCACAGTCAGCACCGTTCTTCATGTCACTGTGACCGGTGATAAGGACCTCGTCTGTTGGGGACATCCCTAATGCCATAGGTGAGCATACCAGGGTGACTGAACAGCGCCTCCCAGTATCTTACCAGACTGGCACTCCTTAGCTCAAGGTGGCCCTTGAAGAACATGGGCTCAAACTGCACAGATCCCACATCGTTTCCAATGGATCCGAGCAGGTCAAACTGTGTTGTTCAAGGGTCAGCTCCGTGATCGGGGATCCGCATGTGCAGAGGGCCAACTGTGGTTAGATGTGGATTTTCGACTGTGTGGGAGGTCGGTGCCCTTAACCCCACAGGGTTCAAGGGTCAACCGTACTCCCCACTTTCTGCCTCTACATTTCTTTTCAGGACGAGGAATCTTTTTCAATAGATGATGCCGGTCAGGAACGAAGCCTTGTTGCCACCGCCGTGGGCGCGCTAACTCGTGGCAGAGAAGTGAAGGGCTGTGAAACACACAGAGTCGGAAAGGACCAGCCAGCGACTCTGCAGGAAACAGGCAGCGCTTCCTTCTGACTGTGCCCGGCTCTCCTGCCTGACGTCTGCTCCCGACCCGGCTCTGGGCGGCGGCCGTGGCTCGGTTCCACACAATGGGAGGTATCTTTGGCATTTTCTTTTCTCAGCTTCATAACTTGTGGAATATTTTATACCAAAAAATGTAGGTTCACAGAAAAATATGCATATAAATCACTTATTAATCCCAAAATGTAGTAGTAAATAACATAGCAAAAACTTTATCAAACCCACCTTGTACAGAAGCTGGGCAGAGCTGCTGTGTGGCGTCCCAAGCACGTCCGCAGCATTTATAAATTAGTGCTTTGATGTTGCAAAGGAGGGTTACAAAAGGCCCCTCTCCTAGTGTCGACTCTAATGTACCTGTCGTTGCTGTTGGGGTCCCCTGGATTCATACTCAGCACACGCATATCACCATTCTCATAAAAGCTGTTATTTTAAGGGAAAAGTGGCACCGCAATCATGGCATAAGTAACATTCAGAATTTCATGTTATCAAGAGGTGAGCAGGGTGCCGACCTCCCCTTGACAAACACACGTCTCACACAACAGCCTCATGCACATCCACATGGAGACATCCGAGTCAGACGTGGACCAGGTTTTCATTGCACGGAGCAGCATGGTCACCATGAGGGCGTGGCCGGCGTTTCTGGGATCTAGAGTGGCCTCCCGGCTCCTGTGTGATGGCTCGGTCTCCTGGAGGGTCCAGCGTGCGCCCTTCCGGAGCCTTCCTTAGGAGACCTTACAGCTGTTTCTGGTGCAGCGCTTGGGCGGGCTCTGGGGTGGCCGAGCGGCCTTGCCTTTGCGGAGGCTGTTCCTCTTGTGCACAGAGCTGGTGGTGACGGAGTAGGAGCGGCCGTGCATCATCCTGGCGTTCAGGCCATTGGCCATGGAGAAGGACTTGAGGTGGCTTCTCAAGGCCATGGGCAGCGGGAGCTTGTCCACCAGATGCACGGGCGTGCAGGACACCACCGCTCGGCAGCACAGGTCCTGCAGGCTTAGTACTTGGGAAAGAAAAGAAAACTGTGCTGAGGGTCTGCTGTCCCTGACACAGTGGACCACAGGGCAGACCCCGTGCTTGTCTGCCCACCTTTCCCACGACTCGGGGTCGGGTGGACCACGAGAGCTGGGCCGACGCTCCCCATGCTCCAGCCTGCAGCCTCTGGCAGGACTCAGAAAGACCATCTGTATTCATCACCCTAAACTCCTTTGTCCCCACACCCTGAGAGCCCACAATCTCTCCTTGTAGGTCCGAGAGTGAGCAGGAGAGGTGGTGTCCCAGGAGGTCTCCTCAGGACTCACAGGACCACAGTTGGGGGTTCGAGACCAAGAGCGACAGGAGACATGCTTCAGAATGATCTCTGTCTCAACTGAGTAGCTGACGTCAATGCGTATCATTGGCTTTATGAAGACATGCTCAAGAATACACTTGAAAGCAAAGGCTGTGATTTTTGTTCCCTGAACACCATTCATTGTGTGAGTCAGGTTCCCCTCCCAGATGAGAGCGGGGGCCCCTGGGAACCTGCTGAGGAGGGGTGAAGAAACTGCACCTCACCCCTTTGCGGTTACAACTCCCAACCCCAAAAGGACTCAGAGGGAAGAAACACATCCCTAGGGGGTTGGCTCATTTTAAAAATCAAGGGTTCCCACAAATGGCTCCTTCGGAAAGTGTTTCTCAGCTGGGGGCGATTTTGGCTCCCTGGGACATTTGGCAGTGTCTGGAGGCACTGTGGCTTTCACTACACGCGGGTGGGTGCCAGGGGTGATACTCAACACTCCACAGGACAGAGAACAGTCCTGTCCAAATGGCAGTAGCGGGGGAGGTCCCTGGGTCCCTGACTTAGAAGAACATGTTTTGCTCACTCAACACTGTGCTGCCAGTTCAATGCCTATAGATTTCTTTGTCTTCTTTGTCTCTGAAAAGCAATATGCTGTTAAGTGACTCAGAGGGAAACAGTGGCAGCCGCCTGGAGCCTCAGTAGGTGTCCGCACTCGACACTGAGGGACTGAACATGCATTCCAGCTGCCCGTCACATTCTACTAAAAATACCCTGCCCACTTCTGCTTCCCAAGTTCCTCTCTGTAAACAACACAAGTGGAAAGTGAATCTTTCCTAATGTGATCAGCTCTTCTCAAAGTCATTGGCATGAAGGTCACAGGTTCTGTAGAAGCCTGGGCGCCACACCAGATCCCTCTTGACAGGCTCCGGGTCCTGCTTGGGGTACCGACCCACCCTTTCTCAGCGTGGATGCCGGGGGCCCCCTTATTATAAATGCCTTCGCCTCTGCCTGCGTAGAGATTTCAGAAGCCTCTTGTGAGCCCATGACAAAGCTGTAATCATGACTTTGCTCTAAGTCAACACATCTGCTCCTTGAGAATGGATACAGCGGCCTGAGGAGGGCCCTGGGAGGCTGACCAGCGAACTGGGCTGTGGGACAACCTCAGCACCTACCCTTGCTTGGCCTCCAGAGCCGGTCCATCCCGTGTCGCAGCAGCACAGTCCTGGCCAACTCCGTGAAGGACTCCGTGATGTTGAAATTGCACAGAGGGCTGACCTCGAAGAAGGTCACACCCAGGCGCTCCGCGTAGGCCTGGGCCTGCTCTGTGGGGACCTGTCTCTTGAAGGCCAGGTGCAGGCGGTTTCCCACCAGGATTTTAGGGACACCAGGAGCATGCTAGAGGGAGAAAGAAAGGCAAGGAAAGTGGGTTACTTGTGCGAGCTTTTGTTGTTGGCACCTTGGGTGTGCTGCAGTGGATGGCGTGACCCCCAAATCTATACCAACTCAGAGCTTCAGAATGTGTCTTTGTTTAGAAATAGGATCTTGGTAGATGTAATTAGTTAAGATGAAGTCACTAGGGTGAGCCCTAAATCCAATCACTGATGTCCTTATAAAAGGAGAGAACACAGGGAAGAAGTAACCCCAGAGACAGAGACAGGGAGCGTCTACACGCCAAGATCTGTCGGCAGCCACCCAAAACTGGAAGAGACAGAAGGACCCCCCTCTAGGATTTCAGGGGGTAGCGCGGCCCTGCCCACACCTAGGCCTTGGGCTTCTGGCCTCCAGAACGTGAGAAAATAAACTTGTTGCTTTAAGCCACCGGGTTTTAAGGTCATTTGTGAGAGCAGCTCCAGGAAACTATTACAGTGGGTCTAGTCCCGGCTACACCACGTCCCCATCAGCAGTTGGGCTGGTCAGGGTTCCAGCAGGCGGCAGCCCTGTCACCACCCGCCAACCCCCCTGACCACAGCAGGGCAAACTGGCACCAGACCACATGCAGGGCCCAGACTCCTGGGCTCAGCTGTTCCCTGAGTCAGGGCCTGACTTGTGCTGGGAGGTGACGCCTCCTCCCTGTTGCTGAAGCCTCATGTCCTGGCCCCCGTACCCTGGTCCCCAGCCCAACACCCTCACGAACCCACACGGAGGGAGCTCTGGTACACTGAGGCATACCTCATCAATCTCCTTGATCCAGCGGTCAATGCCATCGAAGGACCAGCGATTTGCAATGTCATAGACCAGGATCACCCCCTGGGGAGAGACACCAGGCTGACCTCACAGTAGGTACAGGTTGGGGCTGCACAGCCAGTGTGAGGGCTACACAATAACAGACTCACAAACAGCTAAGTAATCATTGTACTTATTGTAACACAAGACTCATTTTGATTTATCTATCAAATGTAATAGTTATGTGATTATTTCCATTATTTCATAAGCTCATTGATAAGCCCTCAAATGTCAAGGTGAGTTGGGAACTAGAACTCAGTTCCCCACATTCATGAGCTGCCCCAGGGATCCAGAACTTGGGGGACCGCAGGGACCACCAGCTCAGGAAGAGAGCAGCCTACCCACCAGGGTGCTTAGGTGCACACACACAGATACCCACAGGATCATGAACGAAGGTGCACACACAGAGGTACAACACAGGTACATACACGTGCATGTACACACAGCTCACATGTATACACATGTATGTACAAGCACACACATGCACACAAACACAGGTGCACAATGCAAAAACACCCGTGTGTGTGTGTATATTAGCCCACACACATGCATAAAACAATGCACAAGGACACACGCACAAACACACATGCATGGGCACACAGTTGAAATGCATGCACAGGTATGTATAAACACGCGCACACAGACATGCATGTGTGCACTCACATGCACACATCCAGCCCTGGTGCTGATAAAGGCATGTGTTGTGAGCCACCAAACACTCCACAGTGCACTTTTAGACTCTGCATCAGTTTGCACGTGGAGCTTAATGGCCTTATCCGCTAAGCGCCCACTAATGAGCATCCCAAACGTCAGTGTGATCTCCCCGCTCAGGGGATGTTACCTGTGCGCCCCGTGAGTAGGAACGGAATATGGTACAAAATCTCCCCTGCCCAGAAGTGTCCCTGGAAGGAAAAGGGGTTGGAGACAGGTAAGATGTTGCTGCTTCTTCCTGACAACAGGGTACTGAACTTGGGACCCTCGTCAGTTGGCGGCCATGCCACTGAAAGTCTGAGGTCCCAACAAAACAGTCACATTGTCCCCTGGCGTGACCTGACATCAGGATGTCCCGGGCTCATTCTCTTTTCTAATTGTCATTTTGTAAGTCAAACAAGAAAAAATAGTTATAGGTTTCAACATCATCATTCTGACATTTAATTTAAGCCTCTAAAATTCTGTGGAATTTGGAGATAAAGTTGTGTCATAAGGGATGTGTGTCCACATGGCGGGGATGGGGGGGAGGATACACCGAAGGATTTGGCGGGATCCTCAACTTCCACGAACTTTGAGTAAATCATACAAAGTTGGACTTGCGGCCCAGCTGGTTGTGGCTCAGCAGTTGAGCGTTGACCCCTGCAACAAGAGGTCGCCGGTTCAATTCCCAGTCAGGGCACATGCCCAGATTATGGGCCAAATCCCCAGTGGGGGGCATGCAGGAGGCAGCCAATTGATGTTCTTTCTCATCGACGTTTCTATCTCTCTCTCTCTAAAAAAATCAATAAAGAAAAAGAAAAAACAAAACAAAAAACAAGGTTGGACCTGTGAGTGGCCTTCCCCTCAGTCTCAGGAGAACAGGGCCTGGGACTCTGGAGGGTCAGAGGCTCGGAGAAGTACCTTGAGTGCAGAGAAGCCAATCAATCAGAACCCCAGATCAGAATCAGCCCGAGCAGAACCTCAGGAACTCAGGCCTGGCCCACAGGCAGAAGCTGCTAGAAAATCTGTAGGCAAGGAGAGCAACCCCGAGAGAGGAACGTCTAGCCTTGCACTGGGGTCTGCAGGGCCATCGTGAAGTGGGCGTTTTCCCATGTGGGCCAAACATGTGGACAGGTCACTGGGCCTCCTGTGCCAGGCCCTGCTCTAGGCACCGCCGGGGGAGGTCCCATGTGGGTGCCCAGGATGACTCCAGGGTCTGACCCGAGCCCCTGGGGGATGTGGAGGCATTGAATAAGATGGGCCAGAAGAGAAGAGAATCAGGAGCGGAGGAGCCTGGTTTAGATGGCAAGGGCTGGTGGACATTTAGGAGAAAAGTCAGAGCAGCTGTTCTGTGCGCCCTTCTGAGTCCCCAGGAAGTTTGGGCTGAGAGCGGGGCCTTCAGGTGGTCTTGGGGGAGGGAGAAGAAGAGAGGAGACATGACAATAAGCTGGGGCCCTGCAGGAGGTGGTGAGGCAGGCAGGCAGAAGCTGGAGGACTGGAGAGCATGCAGGGGCCGGGTGGGGGAAAGGGGTGGAAGGGGATCACAACCCGTGTCCCAGAACGGGTGGGCCCAAGACTGGGCAGTAGGAAGGGATGGGGCGATGAGAGGACATCTGGAGAGAGGCTGCCCTGCTGGCCGCGGGAAGGGGCTGGTTGGGGGACAGCAGGAGAAGGAGCTCCCAGCTCTTGGAGGTGCCTGTGGCTTGGGAGTGGTTGTCACGGTCAGGAGGGGGAAGACAGCCAAGCAGGTGGCCCAGGAGAGGGGATGACACAGACACTGGTGTTGTCAGGAAAGCTGCACAGGGTGCGGGCAACCTAGGGATTGGTTGCAGCAGGAAACCCCTAGTCCCCCCACCCCCAGAACTGTAGAGGCAGAGATGTGACCAGACCTCAGAGCCAGGGCTGCCCAGTAGGGGGACCAAGAAAGAGCCCAGTCCAGAGCCAGGGAAGGGCAGCATGATGGCCTCCTGCTCCCTCTACCCTGCCCGCTCCTGGCCACACTGGGTCCTGGTCTAACCTCATGGGGAGTCGCCCCTCCTGGCCCTTGGAAGCCAGAGGCAGGAAGCAGACTTCAACGAGGCCATGGGTTCTGGACAGACAGCAGGGCCCACAGAGCCCAGGGTTCCCCTCCCCTGGACCAGGGCTAAAAGTTCGGGTCCTGACAACAGGATCAGCCCCTCCTCGAGGGGAGCACTGAGCCAGGCTGGGATGAGGAGAGGATCTTCACGCAGCCGTGCTCTAGGGCCAGGCCTCGCAGGGGCGGGGCAGGAACCCGGACTCACCAGAGCTGCAGCTTCACCCGCCGCCCGTCCAGCAGGATGGTGGTGGTCTTGTAGTCGATGCCTGTGAAAGAGGGGAGCTTACAGTCGGGCCAACTGCAGTGTTTCCACTGTTATTCTCAGTTAAAAGGGCATGGGAGGTCCGGCCAGTGTGGCTCAGTGGTTGAGTGTCGACCCTGCACCAAGAGGTTGCCAGTTCCATTCCTGGTCAGGACACATGCCCAGGTTGTGGGCCAGATCCCCAGTGGGGGGCATGCAGGAGGCAGCCAATCGATGTTCTCTCTCATCAATGTTTCTCTCTCTCTCTCTCCCTTCCCCTCTAAAATCAATAAAAAGCCCTGGCCAGTTTGGCTCAGCAGTTAGAATGTCAGCCTGCGGTCCAGTGAGACCCAGGTTCGGTTCCTGCTAAGGGTAAATACCTCGGTTGCAGTTTATCTCCGGCCCTGGTTGGGTCGTGCGGGTGGCAACCACTGGATGTGTCCCTTTCTCGTCGATGTTTCTCTCTCTCTCTCTTCCTCTCTCTCCCTCCTACTCTATCTGAACAAAAAACGGAAAAATGTCCTCAGGTAAAGATTAAAAAAATAAAAATAAAAATAAAATAAAATCAATAAAGAAAAACAAACAAACGTGTGTGTGTGTGTGTGTGTGTGTGTGTGCGCGCGCGCATAGAGGAGAAACTGAGAACCAGGCTCAGGTTGTCACTAGATATCTCTGGGTTCCAGATTTTAGGTAGATTTTACTTTTTTTTTTATCCTCACCTGAGGACACTTCTGCATTTATCTTCAGATAGAGCGGGTGGAAGAGAGGCGGGAAAAGGGAGAGAGAGAGAGAGAAACATCGATGTGAGAGAGACACATCGACTGGTTGTCACTCGCACAACCCCACCCAGGGCCAGGGAAAAACCACAACAGAGGTACGTGCCCTTAGCGGGAACCGAACCCGGGACTCTCTGGTTCATGAGCTGATGCTCTAACCCCTGAGCCAAACCGGCCAGGGCTAGATTTTACTTTTTAAAAAGCCTTTCTCTATTCCCAAGTTTTTTTTGTTTTTTTTTATCCTTACCCAAGGACATTTTTTCCATTTTTTGTTCAGACAGAGTGGGGAGGGAGAGAGAAAGAGAAACATCGACGTGAAAGGGACACGTCTAGTGGTTGCCACCCACACAACCCAACCAGGGCCAGGGACAAACTGCAAACGAGGTACATGCCCTTAGTGGGAACCAAACCCGGGTCTCTCAGGACCGCAGGCCAACGCTCTAACGGCTGAGCCAAACCAGCCGAGCCAAACCGGCCAGGGCCCAAGTTTTCTTCAATGAGCATGTATTTCTTCTAAGATCTGAAAAAAAAACAACCCAATAATCATTTTTTTTTATCCTCACTCGAGGACACTTTTTCATTTTTTGTTCAGATAGAATGAGAGGGAGATAGAGAAAGACAGAGAGAAATATCGACGTGAAAGGGACACATCGAGTGGCTGCCACCCACACGACCAACCAGGGCCGGGGACAAACTGCAACTGAGGCACATGCCCTTAGCGGGAACCAAACCCGGTCTCTCTGGACCGCAGGCTGACGCTCTAACCGCTGAGCCAAACCAGCCAGGGCCCAATAATCATTTTTAAGGAAGAAAAGTATTCCTCCCCGTTTGACCAGAAGCCAGTTTTCTGCTTCTTAGAGAAACCCCTCCAGTGTTCACAGAGTGAGTCCGCAGGTCCGTGGGGGAGAACACACACGCAGCAGGCGTCCAGGGGAGGGAGGAAGGGTCACAGGAAGAGAATGTTTCCATTGAGTGGCAAGAAAACAAGAGAGGAGAACCCCCTTCTGAAAACAGAGGCAGTTCTTCGAGATCGCCAGGGCCCAGCTGCTTAGCAACGCTCGGCAGGAGGCTTTGTGGTGCTGGAGGTGCCTCAGTGATGGACTTAGCGAGAGTGTCCCCCAAGGCATTCAGACCCTGGAGAGCCTGGCTTTGAAGACACTCTGGGACGTGATCCGACTGTGAATGTTTGCGCAAGTAAAGCTGAATTAGGAAGAGGGGAGGAGAGGGAGAGAGAAACGTCGCTGGCTGCCTCCTGCACGCCCCCTGCTGGGGATCCAGCCTGACACTGGGGTCCTGATGGGGAATAGAACCTGAGTCACACTGGCCAGGGCTCAAGCCTCCTGTCTTTAAAGCAGGGTGAGGGCCAGACCACGTGCTTGGTAGCAGTGATGACAGATTTAGCTTACCACTTTAGGGCACGTCACCCAGGTCTGTAGGGCAGAGCACAGATTTTGCGGAAAGTTTAGGTCAGTAGCTTCAGGTCCCGTACAGTTACTCTTTGGGGCAACTGACAACCAGGGACTTGCTCATAGCCCTTTAAAATCTCACTGGGCCCTGGCCAGTTTGGCTCAGCGATTAGAGCGCCGGCCTGAGGTCCAGAGAAACCTGGGTTTGGTTCTCACTAAGGGCATGTACCTCAGTTGCAGTTTGTCCTCAGCCCTGGTTGGTCATGCAGGTGGCAGCCACTCGATGTGTCCCTTTCTTTCTTTTTTTTTTTTCGATGTGTCCCTTTCATGTCAATGTTTCTCTCTCTCTCTCTTCCTCTCTCTTCATCTGAACAAAAAATGGAAAAATGTCCTCAGGTGAGGATAAAAAACAAACAAATAAATAAATAAAAATCTCATTGGGCCCTGGCCAGTTTGGCTCAGTGGTTAGAGCATCGCCCTCCACACCATAGAGGCCCGGGTTCAGTTCCCACTAAGGGTACCTACCTCAGTTGCGGTTTGTCCCCAGCCCTGGTTGGGTCGTGTGGGTGGCAACCAGTCGATATGTCTCTCTCACATCGATGTTTCTCTCTCTTCCTCCCTCTTTCCCTCTCGCTCTATCTGAAGATAAATGCAAAAATGTCCGCAGGTGAGAATAAAAAAAATTAAAAAAAAAAAAAAAGAAATAAAATCTCATTGTACTCCCAATGGGGAGTCAAGTGCCTATGTGCTTCCTTTTCCAGTGGTCTGTGTGGGGCACACATAGCACGAGATACACATGTGTACACACACAATAAATAGAATACATGACTGTAGACGGTACACAAAGAGAAGAATAGATACATATATACATTTATAATAATCAGAACATTATATTTAGTCAATTAACTTTGAAGTTGCTAGAAGATGTATTTTGGGAAACATTGAGCTTCCCCCCTTGGAATGCTGAAGATTTTCCTCTGACCACATGAAGCCCCAAATACACGTGGGTATCTATTTTGGAGTCTGCAGATAACTCGGGACAGGGCATGCCTGTGACCAGACAGTGGGAGAGGACCCTCACCTTCACAGCCTGCGTGGGCGTCTCTGCTTTAGAAAGTGCCCTCGCCCTGGCCGGTTTGTCTCAGCGGTTGGAGCATTGGCCTGCGGTCCAGAGAGACCGGGTTCGGTTCCCGCTAAGGGCACGTACCTCGGTTGCAGTTTGTCCCCAGCCCTGGTTGGGTCGTGCAGGTGGCAACCACGCAACCACTCGATGTGTCCCTTTCACGTCGATGTTTCTCTCTCTCTCACTTCTTCTCTCTCCTTCCCACTCTATCTGAACAAAAAAATGTCCTCGGGTGAGGATAAAAAAAGAAAAAAAAAAAAGGGCAGGCCCTGGTCCCCTGATCTGCACTCATCCTGCATGGCACTCCCCATTTTAATCTTTGTAATCATTTCTCTTGCTGCGTATCTCCAAGTTTGTGAACAACATACTTATATTCCTACTTCTTGACTTCTCAGTTTTAGGCATTGACTTTCCACCCTGAAGGTGAAATGCAGTTCTCTTTCATTGACACATTGCCTGCCTCTGTCTCTAACTTGCCCTGTCTCTCTCTCTCTCACACACACACAGTATAATTATGTTGCAATTTTAGCTAGATTAATTTTACATCAATGTGACCAAGTATCCACAGCTGAACCATGTGGGATACTGTGTTTATCTTTCCTTCATGTACAAACTTTTGTTGTTTTTTTTATCCTCACCAGAGGACATTTTTCCATTTTTTGTTCAGGTAGAGTGGGAGGGAGAGAGAAGAACAGAGAGAGAGAGAGAAACATCGATGTGAAAGGAACACATCGAGTGGCTGCCACCCGCACAACCGACCAGGGCCGGGGACAAACTGCAACCGAGGTACGTGCCCCTAGCGGGAACCGAACCCGGGTCTCTCAGGACCGCAGGCCGACGCTCTAACCGCTGAGACAAACTGGCCAGGGCCAAACTTTTGTTTTTACTGGAGTTGCAAACAGCCTGCTTTCTGCTTAGTTTCCTCTGCATTTATCACTATTTCATCCCTGCAATCTCCCCAAGTATCTATGTCTCCTCTCGGGACTTCCAACATTCAAGGGCATCTTTGCACAACCTCCATCCTGCTTCCTCTGCCCTGGGGCTTGGCTGTCCTGGGCCCTCCCTTCTCACCTGGACCCCATGTCTCCCCCTCTCAGTTTATTCCTTCTTTTGCTTCCCGAGAAGGGTGTGTGGAAGATTGTTTTTGAGACTTTGTAGGTCTGAAGTGTCTTCAGTCTGCCCTAACTCTTCCCTGAACTTGGATGGGCACACAACTGAGGCAGGAAACCGTTTTCCTTCAGAAAAAGGGTAAGCATTGTTCCATCAAGGTCTCCCTTCCAGAGTTCCTGTTGAGAAGTCAGATGCCAAACTGACTCTTGATCCTTTGAACACAATCTGGTTTTTCCTGGTGGGAGGCAGAGAGGGTGTGGGTTTAGGGAGAAAGAACAATAGAGAACCCTGCATGTCAGGCAGCTGGATCTCACCATGCCTGAAACCAGCCCTGCCCCCAGCTTGTCAGTTACATGAGGCAGTAAGCTCCCCTCTGTACTACATGGAACTGATTCGTTTGTTTGCACCAGAAATGCCCTGTCTGATAGAAAACCTATGAAACATAAGGACTGGAGAAAGGGAAAGAGAATGTCTGCCACACAAATCTTGCAAAAGATGCATTTTAATATCTTCCCAAAGCAAAGTGCAATGACCTCCACATTCCAGAATTTCACTAGCAGTAAACAAGTGTTTGAAAGATCCTCTAACTGACAGTAATGACTTAATTATT